GCACATTATGCCACCAAACACCTACAAAGTGTGCTGTCGGATCCCAAAAAGGAGCGGTTTTTGTCAAAGACTTCATCACCATCCTCCGTGTCCATGTTGCAGTAAAACCTGAGAAGATATCACCCAACGCGTGTTCATAGTGTTGGGAAGTACTCGTACTCTAATGAGCTTAGTAGATCTACTAGTACTGGCGGTGGGAAACGACAGGAAGCGCGTCAGGCCTGCTACAATGTAAAATCTACACATGACACAACTAAGTCCGTACTCGCCAGGGCATCTAACATCGATCTCTAACACTAGTGATAACAGCTCGGAAGGGAAGTGTGAAATCACACGTCAAAATCAGGTTCTTTCTTTCAGTTTGCACTGTATTAAATTTCGTAGTGAATGTTGTTGATTTGCGCTCCAGGTTGAGGTGCCACGTTTATTGCTCGCTACCAGTGATTGAAGAGAACTAAAAGTTAGCGGATGCAGTCTTATTCACCAGTACAGCCAGTCAGGAATTGTTCGCCCCGTGTCAAGCAGGCTGAAGTAACTCTTCCTTGGGCAACTGTCATTATTGGATACTCCGCACGCTGCGTTCGGAAACTCAGTCTCGGAGTGGTGCTGTCATAATAATTATGCGTTTGCTTCGTCGACTGAATGCTCAGACCACCTCTACCATGGCTAACTTCGTGGCTTTGTATCTCTATTTCAAGTACAGTATCAAAGACTTGAAAGAGACATTTTGGCTCAGTCTTAGTCTATGTTCCCAGCTCACGGCTATACGGATACAGCGCCAGGCCCTTTGTCGGACGACCACTGGCAGCGGCCACGTTTGAAGACCGTTAGCGAGGTGACCGAAGACAGTTAGCGAGGTGACCGAAGACAGTGAACACGGAGTGAGTATTGGGGTGGAGGGAGCACTTGTGAGAAGGTAGCGGCAGAAAGACAATGCTGAGACTGGGAAGGGCGTGCTCTCGTGTAGGAAACTGATCACTGTATTGTGCAGCAGCTCGAGGACAAAATGATCGTCTTACTCAGCTCTCCGATATCAGTGTGGACCAACTCTCTACTCGTGACTGACCCTAGTGACAGGGCGAGGGCAGTGTCGCGTTCACAACATAACACAACAGTCTCAAGAAAGCTCGTGTTCCGGAGCGGTAGCAGTCCCCATGGCAACAGCAGAGGAAAAAGACATGTATGTGGACAGGCGCAGAGTAGTCACCATGATCACCTTAACAACCAATGTCCTGGCGGTATCATAGCTTCATCACCTAAACTATCAGTGTCATTGTCCGGCGATGTCACCGCTTCATGTCATGTGGTGTGGAACAACATGCAAGTTAGCATGCAGCCATGCAGCGGAGTCAGTAGATGTGATGCGAATGATTTCATGGGGATGAGTCAGCGCCGGAACTTCTTATGGAGGATAAGTATACGGCGGAAGTGGCCGTGGGCGCTATGTTTGCAGCGTGAGGCACCAGGACAGCACTGTGCCACAACTTTGCCAAATAAGCGATGATTTCAACCGATGATGTAACCGCATAACCTCTACAGCCGACTTGAGTCCTGACTCTTTTTCGAGGTGAGTGAAGTCTGAAGATAATGAACTATCAACCCTGTGTATTTGCTCATACTGCATTACCTAACACGTAGCTTTGGTTTACTGGGCATACTAGTGACACATACACATGGCACAGGGACGGCTCCTGCCAAACCAGCCATTGTGGTTGGAGGTTTACAGGGCGAGTCAATTTAAAAGAAATTCGATACAGTTGAATGCCGTTGGGTCGTCACCAGGGAAATAATTAGGGGTCAAAAGGGGTGTTCCGGGTACCCGGGTACCCGCCCGTTAATCTCGGGTACTGTTAGTAAAAGGGTACCCGTTTGGATTTCGGTGATCCAGTCAGTACGGAACGACACTGCTGGGATTGAGCATTCCAGGCGAGAGTCAATTATTTACAACTCCACGCTGGATGTTTGCATTGTTGTTGCATTTGTGAACCTAGTAGATCTACCTCTGCAACTATCAGACACAAATCAATTTGCGAATCATAATGTGATATCAAAATTCAACCTGAGAACAGATAAATTAAATATTATCATGATTTACGTGAAATTGCGCATGGGTGCTAAAGGGTACCCGTTAACCCGCTCGTTAAGAAAATTACCCCTTCGTTAGTTAAAGGTACACCCGTTTGACCCCTAGAAATAATAGCTGTTAGGCCAAACTAAAGAAGGTGTGTGGTTCGACTCACCCGACCGACCGTACAATTTCAGCCCGACCGTAACTTTTTTTCGGCGGGCTATCGTGTGACTGACGTACGTGGACTGAACACGTCCACGTCTACGTGCTGTGCGGCGTGAGTCTGCGGACGCAGGCGGCTCCTTTTGGACTTGACTTGTAGTTGTACTGCAGTGCAGTGCAGTGAGTGGTACGACTGCTGCCTTGTGCTGGTAGTAGAGTCTACTCGATACGCGTATACAGTGTATTTACATGTACTAAAAAATATATTAAAAAAAAAAAATCCGCCCGCCCGCCCGTAAAAAAAATGTCCATGTTAGTCGAACCACACACCTTCTTTAGTTTGGCCTTACTAGAGTTTCTTGAATCAGAACAGCTATTTTCAGACACATAGCCACCTAGCTGAAAAGCGGAGGCAGGGCATTATCAACCAGGCTTACATGTTGTAGTTATGCTCCATAAAATCCCAGCGGCAATCTCATGAGTAAGGTAGCACCATGCACCCCTGCACCCATGTACAGCCCATGACCATGACGCAGTGTTCATAAGCCAGGGGCTTCACAGTGTTCAGCGTTGCATGGCTGTCTAAATCTCTCCAGATTTCATTGAGCAGCACTGTACATGTATGTCCAGCTACACAGCAAAAGGTACGCAAAGAAAGTGTGAAGTGTAAAGAATCTAGGATTTAGAACTCAGATGGTGAGCCAAAGAAAAAAACTTGTAACATGGGAAATTGTGGGCACAAGTTATGCGATCGAGTCCACCAACTAAACCAGATTTTGAACAGTCAGACGTGCACAATCTAGCAAAAAAACTGACAGAGAGTACTGAGACATTCCACGGCATGAAAGTCAGCTTGAGCACTGCTTGATAGCGCTAACCAACGGCCTTCCAACTCAGTGGAAGGTTCATGGATATTAGGGCTAATTCCAAAGACTTTCATGCCGTGGAATGTCTCAGTACTTCCTGTCAGTTTTGTGCTAGATTGTCCACGTCTGACTGTTCAAAATCTGGTTTAGTTGGTGGACTTGTGCCCACAATTTCCCATGCTACAAAAATCTAGGATTTGGTGATAACATGCAAACTTACTAAGTTTGAAATAGGCTTGGTGGTCATAGAGGGTTGTGAATAACTAGTTGTGAACACTGGAGGTGAAATCATTATTCATGTGCAGTTATAAATAACTTGAATCAACTCATGAATCAGAACTTCATTCATAATAATACTATTCTCGTCTGATGATCGATTCAGTCCGTGAAACTCGGAGTTACAAAGCTGCAACTGCTCGTTCTTCTGTCTGTGTATTCCACTCTTTGCCTTCGGCAAATTGAACCCTCGACGGACGGTGGATGAACCGCACATGGTAGTTATAATACTACAGTAGAATGCCGATTATCCGGACCTCAACTATCCGAATTGCCAGTTTGCATTGAATTGAAGGGCCAAATTGTAGAGTTTTTCTTACCTGAAGCACCATACAAACAGTGCACAAGATGTATCACAACAGGTTGGAGACAAAAAAATCACCAAAAGTGTGTGTCTACAGTCCATTCAGAAAAAAAAGATGATATCCTAGCTTTTGGCCACGAATGGCCAATGGGTCAAATTTTGAGTTTTTGTGACACACATGTTGGCAATCCCCATGAAATGCTCTTCCAATTACTACAAGTAGTATGTTTCTGAAGCCTATTTCTCCAAAGAGCAAGCCGTAAAAGGAATAGGATTTCGGCCAGGTTTTGCCCCCAAAGCACTGAAATTGGGGAAAAACCATGAAAATCCAGGCCGTTCACTCCACTTGCATAACAGTACATTTGCGGTTCGATCCCCAGTTGAGGTACCTTTCTTGGACCCTTGTTCAAGTTTCGAATCTCGCGCCACTGCACAGTGAGTGTACCATGAAATCACGAAAAATCATCGGGAGCTCTCCAGAGCCAGCGCTCATCCTTTTCTGAATGGACTTCTGTGGTACTGCCAAAGAGAATGAGAAATGATGGAAATACAGTGCGTATCGGTTATAGCGTGGTCGTGTAAAAGAAAATACTGCCTACAAGAATGAAGTCTCATGTTTTCATAATCAGAACATGGGTTTCAAGTGCACGTTAATTTTATTCTTACAAGCAATTTCATCGCATAGTAGAATAGATCGGTCCTAAGAATGGACTTTGTGTAGCGAAACATGCCAGATTAGTACAAAGTGTATCGCCTGTAGTAATAACATCCGTCCAATGCAGTTCCGACCTGACTCGCGTTGGGTCGTAGTGCTGCAGGTTCAACTGTTGTGGTGGTCATGTAACTCATGTTGCATAGCCACATTAAAAGCCTACTGACTATGACCAGCCACATGAACAGTAGCACTACGTGATGGCATGTACGATGCAGTAGCACTACGTAACGGCATGTACGATGATCTTCCTGCCTCTGTGCACATGCATGATTATGATAATAATCATTATGTCACACTGGATTTATCGTGTGTAAGAAATATCGGAAATGAGAATGGAAAGTAGTTTTTCGTACACCCACGCTATAACCGATACCTACTGTATAAGGAGATCGGCATGTTTTAGATGGATGTGTGACCGCTACCTTTTCCGAACGGCTTGGAAACAGCCCTGCGCCCCAAGGGGTGGGGATAATGGGCACTCTACACTGCATTTCAGTGCTATTTTAACGTTCAAATGTCCGCTTCGTTAACCTGAAGAAAAAAGGGTTGAGTGAGTGGAAAGGAAATTACAGCATGACTGTACTGTTCACAAACTCCACCGCCATCAACAACGGTGAAAGCAGTGCTGCTAAAAGAGTCGAATCAAATCCAAACCAATAGCAATAGAAAACTCACACATATAATACACAAACACATTCATGATACTCAAAGCATGTGTAGAATAGAATCCAAATAAAGTCAAGCACACTGGGGGAGTCGCACACTGGATCTCAGGGTGAACAATAGGCTGGGGGATCAATACTCCACTAAAGAGTACTTACACGTAGAAATGTACAAGCAGAGTTGCTGAGTAAATAATCGAATACGGTTGAGAAAAGTAGTAACAATATACAACACAAGAACACAATGACACTTGGGATCAAAATATGTACACAAATCTGCTTGCGGGACATGCAAAATAATGTGCAATTGGGGATGCAGCTCCGAAGCATTACAAGAAAAACGAATGCAGTGCACATATGTAGTAGATATACATGATGGTACACGTGTATATACATCATATCATCACTTGCAGAGCAGCAGCTAGGCTTATTTGCTCTTTGTTGCTTATTTGTTCTTTGTTCGTTTCATATACGTAATCATATACAGAGCAGCAGCTGTGTGTAGGCTTACTTGCTCTTAGTAGCCGCAGCAAGATCGACCGGGAAGGTTTCCCTGTCCCCATCGCCACTCTCCGCATAGAACTCATTTTCTGGAACCACTCGTTTGTCCCTGTCGGCGGTGCTCTCGCGCTGATCCGGGTCTCTGTCTTCGTCATCGGTTTCCTTGGGAGGTAGCAGGGGCGGTGGAATGACCTGCATCTGCACACTGGGTGCGCAGTCCAGGATACGCAGGTTATCCAGTATCATACTCTTGATTTGATCCAAGTACTGCGTGTGTGCACAACAACATAACACAGAAAAAATCCAAAGAGTGTTACCGTCCTGTAGGGCCAAGGTACTGTGTGCACTCCACACACAACACAGAAAAAGAGAATGTTACAGTCATCATGGTGGTTGTTGTTGTTGAAATTTTATTTTGTATCGCAGACCAAACGGGCAATGGCGCCCAATATTATTATGATGGCGATAAAGTAACGGCCAAAAGCCAAGGATACAACAAGCAAGCCTCCACGAAAGAGAGAAAAACACAGAAAACACAGACTTCAACTATGGTCATGTAGGGACAAGGGAATATCGACCAGTTTAGAAGTTAGCATTCCCAACACACACCAATGCACAGGTACTAGTACTAGAGTAGATGCTCCGATAGGCGAGACAGCACACATAGTGCAGTAAAACCTGGGTTAGGGCCGGGTTCCACTGCGGCTTCGCCTGCTCCGATGCACTTCATCCGCGGCATGAAATGTCATCTTTACCATCATAGTGACCACGGCTCGAGCTGGTGCAGCGAGGCCGCGGCTCGCAACGAGCTTTTGCTATGATTCTTGATCAAAAACTACGAGCCGCTGTCGCGGCTTGACCTTTTCCCCGTACTTTGCATTGTTTTATACGCGAGAATTTAAAAATTCAAATTTTAATTCGTTGCCCGAGGCAGAACACGAGAATTTTTTTGATTTCATCAAAAAACATGGAGTATGACCGCGGTACTGCGAATGGCGAGTGTCAGTGGAACCATGCTGCTCCGCTGCATGCAGCCAAGTGACGCGGAGCAGGGGAGCCGCAGTGGAACCTGGCCCTAAGGCGCAGGGTTCGCACAGGGCTTTGAAAGCCTTGAAAGTGCTTGAATTTTGAAAACTCCTTCAAGGCTCTTGAATAGTTCTTGAATTTTGGAAAAAAGCGCTGAAAGGCCTTGAAAAACAGTTTTTGTTCAAAAATGACACCTCAGACCGCGGTCACACATGTCTTTGGCGGGACTTCTAAAAACGGTTACTTTTTCCGTTGACGTCGCGCTTGTCGAACATTGAAAACAGTTTTTGGTCGACTCGGGCTTCCATCAATCACTTTTGTTTTGTTTCCTGTGACACCAAGAAAATGGGCAAGTGCTCGTTTCAAGCGAAGTGGCTCGAGGAGCAGAAGTACCAGTCATGGCTGGCTGGCGATTCGGATAAACACCGTGCTTGGTGTAAGCTGTGCAGAACTTTCTCAGTCGCCGCCATGGGCGAAGCTGCCCTTAGCAGCCATGCTGACTGGAAAAAACATCGTGAGATGCGTTCCTGCGCCAGCTCATCAGTTGGCATGAGATCGTTCCTGCCCCAGCAGCCGTCGTCGCAGTCGTCTACTGCAGCTGCTGCAGCATCAGCTGCTCCAAGTTCAACGTTGGTGCAATTCGTCAGCACTAGGGAGACGCTGAAAGCTGAGGCATGTACTGACCAGCAGATCCTGGTTTGCGTGTTGAGATGAAAGAGTTCCTTGTTGCCATAGTTAAGAAGCTGGAGGACAAATGCCCTCTTAACTATCCACTTGTGCGATGTCTTGGGTGGCTCGTGCCAACGCGCATTTCATCTGTATCGGAGCACGAGTCATTGATTGCCATTTTGAAGCGGTGCCTGTCCCAGCTATGCGAGTCTAATCACGTGTTGCCAGCTGAGTGTGACAACGTTGTCTGCCAGTATCGCTCCTTCCTGCGTGCCGCCTCGGAAGAGGAAGAGTTCATCCACTTTGGAGACAGCGATGATTCTCGCTTGGACGTCCTGTTCCATTCTCGCTTGGCAGGGTCCAATGAGTACAGGGATTTATGGAAGGTGAGTGGGTTTCTTGTTGTTTCTTGGACAGTGTTATTGGCATGCTTTTCGCATTATTGATGAGCTTTTCCTAGTTATACTGCTAATGCATCTCTTTTTCCTGGGCGATCTAACACTGTTGACAAGCCCTTTATGATTGGTCGGTGTGTGTGCCTTTCTGTATTCTCTTACACTGCTAGGTTGTCCGTGTGTTGCTACTACTGAGCCATGGTCAGGCATCTGTGGAACGTGGATTTTCGGCTAACAAGCTGACCTTGGCCGACAACATGTCACAACGAACGCTGGTGGCCGAACGGACTGTTCTCCACTTGCATGATGGTAATCCTCTGAAGGTCCCTCTTACCGAGGATCTGCTGTCTGCCGCCAAAGCTGGCCGGCAGAACTACGAGCAGTACTTGAGAGACGAGGCGGAGAAGGCAGTAGCCTCTGAGAGCCGCAAGCGGAAGGCTGATACGACTGTGGAGCTTGAGTGAAAAATGATGGGAAAATGGGCCTTGGAAGGGCCTTGACATTTTTCTCTGTGTGCTCGCCCTGCAACAGGGCCGAAGTGTGCTCAGAAGCCAGGTTTTACTGTAGCTAATAGCTGTTCAACTAATGTGTTCAGGGTAAAGAGACCGCAGGTTGGATTCTAAGTTGAGAAGGCCATCTTTCTTTCATGCTCGGTGTTTGTCTCAGAACGGTACCCTGTTTTCTTCACGAGAGTGTGACCAAGCTAGCTATTCAACTAATGTGTTCAGGGTAAAGAGACCGCAGGTTGGATTCTAAGTTGAGAAGGCCATCTTTCTTGCATGCTCGGTGTTTGTCTCAGGACGGTACCCTGTTTTCTTCACGAGAGTGTGACCAAGCTAGCTATTCAACTAATGTGTTCAGGGTAAAGAGACCGCAGGTTGGATTCTAAGTTGAGAAGGCCATCTTTCTTGCATGCTCGGTGTTTGTCTCAGAACGGTACCCTGTTTTCTTCACGAGAGTGTGACCAAGCTAGCTATTCAACTAATGTGTTCAGGGTAAAGAGACCGCAGGTTGGATTCTAAGTTGAGAAGGCCATCTTTCTTGCATGCTCGGTGTTTGTCTCAGGACGGTACCCTGTTTTCTTCACGAGAGTGTGACCAAGCTAGCTATTCAACTAATGTGTTCAGGGTAAAGAGACCGCAGGTTGGATTCTAAGTTGAGAAGGCCATCTTTCTTGCATGCTCGGTGTTTGTCTCAGGACGGTACCCTGTTTTCTTCACGAGAGTGTGACCAAGCTAGCTATTCAACTAATGTGTTCAGGGTAAAGAGACCGCAGGTTGGATTCTAAGTTGAGAAGGCCATCTTTCTTGCATGCTCGGTGTTTGTCTCAGGACGGTACCCTGTTTTCTTCACGAGAGTGTGACCAAGCACCTAGAGAAAGCTTGAGATGTTTTTTTCTTTTCTTCTTCTGATCTATTTTCCCAGGATTTACGTTGCACTGTGCCAGTCTTGAAACATTCCAAAAATGCTTTTCCCTCATCACATTTCGAGGATGTGTTGACCTGTGGATCATGACATCATGGCTTCTACACGGAAACAATGGCCAAGTACAAGTATGTGTATACTCGAGAAGAACTAAGGTCTCTGTACTAAGTGACCAGAACGACATACCAATAGCTGAAAGGTGTCACACATCCATTGTAATTGGCGAAGAAAATGTATCGGGGCGAAACGGGTTTGCTGTTCATGCACTCCATCCAACCTGTGCACAGGCAGCGCACTATTGACATCAAAACTACATCCTAGCAGGAAGCACACCCTCAAAATGCAGCATCCAGTTGATGGGAAGCAAATTTTTGGATTCTTTCTCAGGGTGATGTTGGCCATCAATGGACCCTATCCTAACCCATAACAGCTACGGTTTGAATAGCAGTGAAAGAGAGAGAGAGAGAGACAAACGCACGCACGCACGCACACACACACACACACACACACACACACACACACACACACACACGTACCTGTCGCGGATTTTGATTTTCAATGCGACTGCCGATTTCCGGATGAAGCATCAGGTCAGGCGCAAAATATTCGCAGTACTCTGCACAAAACGACACACACACAAATCCAGGACATATTTAAGCAATCAAAATGTGTCTAACGGCAAGCAAGTACATCACATGTAAGCAAGATCCAGGAGCTGCCAGATGTGTTTGATCAAGAACCCATGATTGACGTACAGCTGGAATGGGTAGGTAGCATTAGACATGTCCGGGTACACAAAGCCGGTGATATTGAAAATGAGCACTGCTGGCGACTTCAGAGAATTATCAACTGCCGAATGTTGCCGCTTACCTTCTTCTATGAGTATAACCATGACAACCAAATGCCAAATGAACATGGGACAACTTATAACAAATAATTAAATTATGTGTATTGTTGTACACCAGGTCACCACTCACCATTATATGGCAGGTCATTGGCAATGGGCTGATCAAGCAGCAGTGCGGTCTCATGAGTCCTACAAAACAGGCACAACACGTGTCAACACACCATGCAACGAATTAGTGTGCACACACACACACATACACTCTCACACGCACACACACGCACATGTACAAACACACGCACACACGCACACACACACATGCACACACACATGAATCGATACAGTAATGTACATGCAATCATGTACACTGTGCATACACTTCGGCATGCATAATCGTATACCCACCCTCCCATCCACCCATCCACCCACCCACCTTAGGAAGCCCTGATTTGTGGACAGAACACTTAATGGCCAGGACTCAATTCATCTTAGCAGGGTTTCGTTTCCCTATCGCCCGTGGTGTTGCAGGCCAAACTTAATACTTCACTGACAGGACTGTCACCACAAGTATGCCAAGAGCCAGAGTGGATGTTTCTGGGCTGTGTATGCTCAGAAAAGTCCTGTCGTGCTTGGTGAAAACCAACCCAAAGTGCATATTATGCACTTGGCCTTGAAGCCTGGGGAGTGTTGCAGGTGCTGCTGGACACACGTATACACTGACGATAAACTGGTGGCTAGTACATGTAGCCTCTGGGAAGGAAAAAGGCCGAAACACCATTCAATGGACAAGCACATTCTTATGGAAGTGTATCGTACTTACCAGCAGCGAGCAACATTGCGGACAGTGTAGCCCCCACCGCCCAGAACCAGAAGTGGAATTCCAAATGACTTCACAAGAGACACACATTCTCTACAGTGCAGGGGGGACAAACAAACACATAGGCAACGGAGACCAACGGAATGATATGAATGATATCCACTGTACGTTGGAAAAACCAAGGCAGGACCAGATTAGAAACTTGCAGTCCAAGAGCACCGAATATAGATTGCACAAACTAGAATACACTCACACACAAATATACTAGTACAGGTAGAGCAGTATGGAAACTGGACTGACCCGTGGCCTCTTGTCGTCAGGTTGAAACAGCCAAGGCGATCACACCCCAGAGAATCTGCCCCACACTGCAAAGGGCACATACGTACGTACACACACACACACACACACACACACACACTTGTACTTGCTCACTGCCAAAACTGGTCTCGTGGGTCTCCCCGGGAGAGGGGAGGGAGACTCAAAAGGAATGTTGGAAAGATGACTCAATTGGCCATTGAACCACCCAACGGCCGACACCCCCTGAAATCCCCAAACTAGGGTGGATTTGAAATGATCCCACTTATGGGCTCACTACACCTCAGTAAGTGGGTGAGGACAAGGTGCAGAAAAAGGATTGACGGCATCAGGGTATCCGTCCCGGGATCCAACTGCAGGTACCCCCTGCCCCCAGTGAAGGTAATACTTGGTACTAGTGTGGGTGGCTAAATCAGAGTGGATCTGATACAAGCTTCACTAGCACCATTGATTACACAAGAGTTAATCTAGCCAGAAGCAGTCCATGGTTAACAGGTATGTATACTTCAAATAGAAAGTATATGAACCCTGAAACCAACAAAGGTGGTAGGTACAACAATACACCTTCAAGCAGCCAAGCCCGTTGGCAACAGGCCCAACACTATCTGGCACACACACACACACACACACACACACACATGCATGCATGAGGCTTGTTCAAGTATTCAAGTGCCGGGTTAGGTTGCGCTCACACGACGATAAAAACTTTCGAGAAAGGTTGCACGGCGAGCGAGAAAAAGTACTAGCACGCTCACACGAGACTTTTACGTTTACGATTACGATGCACGCAAGTATGAGAGAGTAGGAAAATAGTACCTATTTCACTACTCTCTGGTGGTGATATTCAGCTTGTAGTTAAAAGAGCACTTGGAGCCTCTGTTCCTTGCTTACCGCCACTGGTCTCTTCTTCCACAAAATCTGAAATCCTGCCAAAGTTACAATACATTCACACAGCTACTGCAGAATGCAACATACTAGTTGACATCCAGCCCTGCCCTAGCTCTCCCCCCCCCCCCCCGCGCTTCTCTTACTTTTCAGTTCCCCTTTCATTCTTTTTCTTTCTTCCCTGTATTATCGCCATGGCTGGTTATCGCCCACATCACCTTTTCATTGGCTAGTGCCACGTGATGTGAATAAAAAAATAAAATAAAAAATTAGTAAAGAAAAAGGACAAAAACTACAAGTTACGCTATAATGTCCACTGACACCACAGTTACTAAACAATCAGCTCATGCGATAACATTGCACGACACTGACCGTGTTATCGCATGAGCTGATTGTTTAGTAACTGGTGGTGTTAGTGGACATTATAGCGTAACTTGTAGTTTTTTGGTCCTTTTTGCTTTACTATAAAAAAGTGTGTGTGAACCCGTTTTCTCGGATGACAATCTGAAGCTGAACGTGGCAAAAACTCAATATTTCACTGTGAACAAGGAAGATGATTCCTGGAAATCGGTGAAGCTGCTGGGGAGTATGCTAGGCACAGCAGAAGACATAGCAGCCAGAGTGTCTGCTGCAAATCGGGCATTTGCAGGCATTCCATGGAAACGCCACAACCTGAATTCCAGGCTGTGTATGTTTTCCTGCCTGATATTGCCTGTCTTGCTGTATAATTGTGCGCTTTGGACCTTATCGCAAACATTAACCGACGTCGTCAATGTATGGCACCGGAAGAAACTACGTACCATCATTGGTATCACGTACCCACAACGAATCTCGAACACAGCGCTGTATGCCAGAACCGAGCAGACCCCACTATCCCAAGTCTGCAGGCAACGGAGACTGCTGTGGTTCGGCCATGTAGTGAGGGAAGGCGAAGAATCGTCCTCTTTCCAAGCCCTCCTAATGTCGATCAACACAACAGACATACGACGACCCCGAGGACGGCCACGTCTGAGATGGATCGACGTTGTCAAGAAAGACTTACAATGCATTAATCTGTCGCTTCTGGATGCTGTGCAATCTGCTTCTGATAGAGCTGCTTGGCTCGAAATTGTTAACAGATGCGTTGACCTCATGCAATGAGTGAAATGCGAACTGTCATTATTATTATTATAAAATTAATATATCCTTGGCTCTCCATCCGAATAAATAAAAAGGATTTTTTTACATTTTAAATAAAAAAGGAGTTCGACACTATTGCAGAGTGAATGGGTAGGAGCGAGTCTGCTCTACACCATTTCCTTCTTATTACTAGGGACCTTTTCGCACCACGCGTACGGATACGAAACGAATGCTGATTCGTCACCTGGGTTCGAGGATTCGTCAGAGTCCCTGCGGAGAGCTCGTTTTCACGAATGGAAGCCTCTTCATTCGTGGCACACTCCGAATCCGTCAGGTACACATGTTTTTGCCAGGTACACATGTTTTGCCAGGTACACATTTTTCCCTTGATTCCATGATCCATGCACGTGTGGGCGAAAACACCCGTACGCCAAGCTACCGGCCGTATTCGTAGTTGCCATGCACATTTGCATGACGACTTGCGAAACCTGAATCCGTTTTCAACGAAACGATTACGAGTCTAGTCAAACTTTCGTTTCGCATTCAATTCGTAGCAAATGCGAAAGGTCCCTACTATTAACCGTATTCTCCTTTCGTTATTCATGATGTAGATAGAAGACAGGTGGAATACCGCGTACTAATATTGCACAGTTATTTATTCATATTTTACTTGTGCCGCTACAGCTCAATGCAATAACATCCGTTTCTGTGAAAACTTGAGCTGCAGTCATGGAGCACCAGTATGTGGATACTAAGAATGCATGATGCATTTTCACTTTAGGGGGAGTGAAACATATCCCTGCTAATGATGGATACGCCAACAGATTGGTGTCCCGGGAAAACAGTCCAAACCAACGGAATTGAGCCACGTTTTCAAGGAGACCCAAGCCTCCAGGTGATCATGTATGCTGGTAAAACATAGTGTGTTTCTCTTCAGTATATTTCGTGCACATCTTCCGACCAACACACAAATGAACGTTCTATGACCATGCAATCTGCCCGCCTTTGTGCTTCACGTGAGCCTCTTCAATCTCACCCAACCTAAGCTAACACATCGGTTGGGAGATTCTGACACAGCATTATAGTGTTGAAGGTTGGCTTTTACCCCTCTCTCGCACTTTGTGTGCCAATTGGTCATGGACAACGAGTTGAATGAAAAATAATTGCCTATAAAAGCAACCCGACCACACAGACAATCACATCCTACACAAAGAGACAAAGACACAATGCTTGCATACGGGCAATCACATCTTGTACAACAACTATGGAGAGACACACACTGGTTGCAGCTTGCACTGACCTGTAGAACAATAACGGAGGGCTGGAAATGCTGCACGATTCCCTGGATGACAGGCTTGAAGATGTACAGAAAACCTGCAGGCAACACATTCACACATGCACGCCCACAAACCATTGCATGCCCACGAACCATTGCACGCCCACGGACCATTGCACAGTTGCTATTCGTGCGAGCCAACACCAACATCACTGCAGGTGTGGCTAACATTCCAAAGGGCAATGTGCAGCAAAATGCCACCGTGATCTCATATGCACACAGTTAGGACGAAATGGGTGCTTCACGGAATCACGGATCTAAAAGCAACGGCAGTATCAGGTATGTGCCAGTATACTTTGAAAATAAAAGGGGCACACACATGCACGCACGCACGCACGCACGCACCCACCCACACAGAAAGAAAATGTCCAAAACACAATACCAGAAAGAAACACCGTACAACAAGGACCGTCCGGCAACACCACGACATGGACGTACCGTTGTCATCAATGCCGTCCTTTAGTGGTACATTGACAGAGAAGTACTTTCCCAAGTCGAAGCCGGTCTCATACATATCCCCTGGGTGGACACACAACACACAACACATATGCATCTACATCACACAAACATCCACAGCACACTGGTCATGAAATATGGAATGAGAAAATGCACATTTTAAAAGAGTTTATCAATGTTATGACCTTAAAGGGGAAGCCTAAAATCAAATTTTCACCAGTTGTAGTCTTCGGGTGCTGAGTCGAATGGTCTTGGTCCAAGGAAGCTTAGACGCTCCCTTCCTCCTTTATTCCCAATCGAACTCGTGCACTTCCACCGAAACTGGGTGACTGCGCCCTACTAGATGGGGATCTGTATGCAAAATGTCACTAAAAGCGCCATTTCGTTCTTATAAAAGCACGGATGACCGCGATTGGCCCATATGTTGTAGTCTTTTGGACGCTGAGTCAACTGGTTTTGGTCCGAAAAGGCTGCGATGCAGCGTTCGGGGCTTATTCCCAATTGAACATGGTTGAACAAGCGGTCACGTGCTCCTGCGTACACCAGTCACCTGGTCACCGCGCCAGCAGGCGACAATTTTCATACCAAGGATCAACTCGTGTTCAACTCTAGTGACAGGAATGCACCCAAACAGGCTGTTAGTTGTGCCCTGCGCTAGGTTGACCACGATCTCATGGAGCATGACGACTTCATTGGCCTGTAGCAGGTAGACACAATTGATGCCACCTCACTTTACTCTGCCATCAAGGATGTGCTGCTTCGCTTGAATTTAACCTTGGAACAAGGACCGTGGACGATGGTTCGACAAAGCTTCACATATGAGCGGTGCCTGCACTGGGGTTAGCAAGCAAAGTCACCGCGGAAGAGAGTCGCGGGCCATGCACATATTGAAGCGGACACGCATAGAACCTCGCTGCGTCTGACACCATCAAGAAATCCAAGCTGTGCAAGGATTCGATTCTCTTCACACGGCTTTTAACATCACCCGGCTGATCAAGTTCTCACCGAAGAGAACAGCAGCATTTGAGAATACCCGCTCTGGCCAGAACGACGACACACCACACCCAACTGCCGTTCGGCCACGCAGCCGGACAGTGCAAGGTGATACCCCTTGAGAGTCACCACAATTCAGCTTGAAGTTGAGGAAGCCTCGTTTTGATGTCAATGTATATGTCTTAATCGTGTTTAAAATAAAATAAAATGGTGTGTGGCTCATGTTTGTGTATATGTGCTGAAGTTCAATAACCGGTTATAACCGGTTATCCGACCGTTACTTTAGAGGATACCTGGTCATGCAAAAGTTGTGACCGTTTAAGATCTAATTGTAACACACCACATGTACACCACATTGGTCCAGCTGTGGGATGAGTGCCTAGAGTCTGTAGCTCACCTGGAGCCCAAAGTGAAGGCTCGCATCATTGGGGTGAAGGCAGTGGTGGGCGACTTCAAGTTCCCCTTTGGATTGAAGTCATCGAAGACAATCTTGAAGATCACTGACAATCTGAGCATTGTCAATGTAAGCAGCAGACGCTCAACATGTGGCATCTTTAACTGTGAAGACCGTGCAAGACGCGAGATCTGGTGAGTGCTGGTCCAGCTTGTACGCTCTCGGAACGGCACAGCAGGAAAAGCTAGATGTTGATGAGGGTGTACTCTCCCCGGCGACGGAAGGTGCCTCGAAGGTTTGAAGACGACCAGGCTGCCGGTACACATCCGGCATCTGCTGAAGATCTATATTGTGTGGCACACTTTGAAGCTCTGGATCTTGCGGTGTCCAGTACACAGGAGAGTTTTGATCAGCCTGGATACGCAACGTACCGCAACCTCGAGGAACTACTACTTCAAGCTCCACGTGGTGATGACTACATGGAAGCATTGAAGCAAGTGACAGGTCTCTATCATGAGCTGGGGACGGGTGCTCTTACTGTTCAGCTCAAGGCCCTGGGGTCTCTATCACGAGCTGGGGACGGGTGCTCTTACTGTTCAGCTCAAGGCCCTGGGGTCTCTATCACGAGCTGGGGACGGGTGCTCTTACTGTTCAGCTCAAGGCCCTAGCAAGTCACTTTGAAAGCAACTCACTGGTTGGTATACGCCCGAAGGACTGAATTCGGTATCTATGCAGTTCGTCAACTGAGGCTCCGATATTCTACTGTGAAATCATCTGTACTGTCCAGCTACTACTTGGCATGCCTGCTACAAGCGTAGTTAGGAAGTGTTTCTTCTCAACCCTGCGTCACATCAAGGCGTACTTGAGGAGTGCTATGCGGCATGATTGCTTGAACTATACCACAGTCTGTTGATCTACTTCTTTTGAAGTACAAGGAACTAGTTGACCATCTGGATCGCGTTGCTGTCTCCAATGAGTTTGTGGGCAAGAATGAGAAAGCGCTGCAACTGAGTTTGTCATTGCTGACCATCAATTTGTTTTCGACCATCAACTTGTTTTCCAGTTGTTTTCCTCTAGTCTCCTTAGTTTGCCGAGGAGCATAGTCAGCTTTTCCACAGTTGTATTCCTGTGAACGAATTCGCAATTTCAGGATGGCCTTCACTCCTGATCAGCAGTGGTCTCTTGCTGAGATGATTTCGGTTTCGGGCACGTCAGCGTTGTCAGCTCACTCCGCGACTCGAGGACCTGACCGGGGAGCGTCTGATGGGCCATCAGACCAAGCTGGTACGTATCTGAATTCTGTTCATGCTGATATGCGGGCGAGTTTAGATTCGGCCCCCGCACTCTCTGCATGCGTATGTCATGTTAGCCACGAAGCCATAGCAAACATTTGCAGAGTCATTTTTTTGATCTGGCGCTCCTGCTTCCCGTCAAGTATGAGAGGCCCTCTGACGATCAGCCTCTTTCCAAGCGGGTCAAGTTAGCAGAGGACGGCGATTGCCTGTTGATCTCTGCCTCTATCTTCACCATCATAGCCACAAACGACCCGGCCTGCGCTGCTAGCCTGGCAGAACATCAGCTACGGATTGTGCAAGCCGCAGCAAAGTACCGCCTGACTGCGGAACTTGAGTACGATATCCAGGTTCGGCAATCGGTGGCTCGTGCACGCACCCCGCTCTCATCGCCTGACATGGTGCTCTACACAGAGTGTTTCATGGGCCAGGCACTGCACACATGTTACAAGTGCCGGAAGGTGGGCGGCCAACAACTGTCTTATTTGTGGCTCCGACAGCCGGACGCTCCCTGCCACCTCCGGCTCGGGCACAACAGGTGGAGGAAGCGTTCACGCGCCCAGACAGTCCACCATCTGCCGCAAGTTCAACGTGGGCAGCTGCTCTTTCAACCAATGCCGCTTCAAGCACTGCTGTTCCTTCTGCTCTGGCACCCACCCGGCCAAGGAATGCCAATCCTGCAAGTAGGTCCATGAGTACACCTTCCTCCCATCTTCCTTTATCTGCACATAAACCCCACACACCCATTATTATTAGCACGCTTAAAATAGAATTAGAGCCACACCCTGATGATCAGTTGGTCGCATCTTTATTGCATGATCTTGAATTTGGTTTTCGCATCGTTTTTTTTGCAACTGTCTGTCTGAGTCTTTTTTGTCACGTAATTTGTCCTCCCCTGCTGACAATGTAGAAATAGTCGACGACTATCTCCGCCAGGAATGTGAGCGCGGGCATACGGCTGGCCCGTTCGATGAGCCTCCTGTTCTCCCCATTCACACCTCTGGCTTTGGAAAGTTCTACGAAGGCTTTCGTTGGCGTGACGGAATCATCCATTGATGTGGCATAATTATTTCATGTGTTTTGACGAAATTTCTTCATATATACCGTATTTCCTTGAACAGCCGCCGCGGCCTGTATTCAAAACTAGCAAGACGGGTGCGACCCTGAAAAATATTTGTACGTCGCAATGTACGTGCTGTATGCGTAGAGTTCACGTACGAGGCGCACTGTTGAACCCGTGTTGTCCAGCTACACTGTAGGCTAGTGCATCTTCTTTTCTTTTCGTGTTGCACTGGAAAGAATATCATGGCGAAGGAGCTCGAGGCTCGACTAGCATGTTAGTTGCATGTTCAGCAGCAGCAGCAGTCCCTCATGGCGACGAGGATGAAGTAGAGGAGAGTCAAGAAGACGTCGACGTTGAAAATTTTGGATGCAATAATAATGGACGCCGCAAGTTTTGTCCTCTCCCGTTTGATTTCAGTTTCTGCAATCGTTCCTTTTACAGCGTCAGTGTCCACTTTCTCCTAGACAAGTTCTCCGATCTGAGTTCTTGGTTTTGCAGGTTTGACAATCTTCAGTGCGTCTTAGGTTTCATCCGTTTACTTTGTTTGCGTACTATTTTCTTTTTTGGTGGTCGATAAAATCACTCGTCTTGCTCTTCGTTACGTTGTGAGAGGTCATCATCATGGCGTGTTCGATTTGTTCCCTTCTTTAGATCGCCTTTGAGTCCTTTGTCCGTACCGAGAGCAGCACTAGCTGCATGTGAAGGAGCAAGACATCGTAGCCGAAAGTCATCTCGTAGCTGTGAAATTGCGTATAAATTGTGAACTGCTCTGCACTTGTGTACAAATAACCCTCAGTTCAAAGAAACTGGCGGCGCTTATTCAAGGGCGGCCGGTAATCAAGGGGCGGCGGGTGTTCAAGGAAATACGGTACTGACGGTTTTAATAGTTAAGGCTGCAATTACCGGTATGTTATATCATCATTTGGGCTAACATTACCCTTTCGGCTGTTATTTGAAATCAACACATGACTTAACTCTGCCTGGTATCTGTGTGTGACAGGGCTCATCGAGGTTGAATCTCGCCGGACCTATCAAAAAGGGGCTGCGACAGGTCTGATATACCAGGCAAGATGAGATGACGTTGGCCAGATCACCACCTCAACACTAGTGTGTGCAGTTAACTATACCAGTATTGTGCCAGACTGGCAAAGCTGTAAGCCGAAAAGGTAGGCCCACCAAACATGCTAGCTCCCCTCAGCACCAGATCATGCACTTTATAAATGCATCATATCAAGTGCAAACACTACGCACAATCATGCATACTCGCAAGCACAGACAGACAGACAGACAGACACCCACACCCACCCACCCACCCACACACGCACGTACACATACGCACACACGTATGCGTACAGACACACCGCAGCAGAGATAACCGTGCAGGAGGAGGAAACGGCACGGAATACCTTGAACTCACCAGTGCCTGGGAAAAAGCCGCGTCCGTATTTGTGAAAAGAACAGGTCATCACCCGGTCCGTCAGGTAGAATGCCTCCTACAGTGACAACCACATTAGCACCAAGACACAACCACACTAGCACCGGAATGGTAAGTAAGACCACCATGAAGGCTGGATTTTTTTAGATTTCAAAAACTCCACCTGGAATACAATTTCAAATTTGGACTTCACGGAGAATTTCAAAGTTTCATATCTGGCTTGCAAGTGTTGAGTTTCGGAGAGAAAAGAGCAGTACGTGGCATGTGGCCTCTAATTTCCACCTGGAATAGTCTTAGAATCCGACACATGTGTTTGTCACTTAGTATAATATCACTGTACTCCGTTCGCGTTTTATGAAAAGTTGCTGGTGCTGTGCCACTCACTGGCTGTGACCACGCTGAACAGAGTTGCTCAGGTGAACACCATCACATGGGAAGATTGTTTATGCCACACCTGCGTGCCCTAGGACCCAGAGTCCTAGGTCGCTTTTACCGGACACAAGGCTGGTATCATCGAAATTGTTACCAGGATTACACAAACACACACACACACACCACCACCACCACCACCACCACCACCACCACCACCACCACCACACACACACACACACACACACACACACACACACACACACACACACACACACACACACACACACACACACACACACACACACACACACACACACACACAAAACCATTGCGAGACTGAGAGCCGATCAGAAAAGTGTGAGCGGGAAGGTGGTGTCACAGGTACTGTAAATCATATTATTTTAACGACCCGCAAAGTTAACGATTTTCTGATTTTCGAAGGTTAACGGTTTGAAAAGTTAACGATTTTCTCAGACAGATGCAATAATACTAGGAATGCTCGTCAAGAACATTCATTGTTGTCCATCACAGTATACCTCGATGTCAGGAGAATAAAGAAAATGAAATTAATCCTGCGTAAGAGCGTAAACAATTCAAATTTGTCGATCTCCTGCCGCTTCGTCCAAATTCATCTGAGAGACTTCGGAGTTGTTTGAGCCGACTGCTGAGCGTCTCTGCTATCATCTAGATCTTTCGATTGTTGAATTCCGTTGAGAATTGACCGAGTTACGATCCGTTGAACACGCACTGCATGCCATAATGTGAAATGATCGATTTCAATCGTGCGAGGCCCAAATCATACGACTTTTGCTAACGAATTTTAAAATAACGACAAATCTTTGCTCGTTAACTCGTTAGATTTACTTGTTCGTTACATATTCATGATTTACAGTAGCCATAGTAGCTCCAACTCTGCCGAGCCGGAGCCCGTGACCAGTGAAAGAAGGCCCATGACAAGGAACAGGGTCATGTGTGGATGCATGCCTTTTCTGCCAGCACCAAAGGAAACGTAGGAGGCGAAAGGCAGATGAGTACCTCACACAGTGCAGCACCTTCGATCGAGGCGGGTGAGAATATTCTGGAAGCCACCCATCGCTTCAAGGATCTGCCATTAAAGAGTCTTGTCCTTATTGCCTTGGAGAGTGGTGGACCCAACTGCATTGCTGGGGAGGTCAAGTACCACTTCACGTGTTACCGCCACTTTGTTAGTGATACCCGCACGAAGTCATGTGAGCCCCAGCCATTGTCCTACCATCTCACAATTCAGGAGCTGGCATCAGAGATATCTGAGCAACTCAATGATGACAGGAAAGTGGCAGCACTGTCAACGCGTGACTTGAGGCACAGATATGTGCACGCTCTCAGTGTACGAGGTACAGTTTACCCGCAGTACCGTACATCTCACCTCAAGGAATGCACCCAAGCTCACTTCCTGCGACCGATAACAAGCGGTGAAGACCATCTTGCACGGGTCATCGAAGGTACACTGCACACTACCCAGGAATCACTGGGTTTGGATGGTGATGAGAATATGGAAGGTGCCGACGCCGTGTTCCTCCATCCTTCAGCTGCTCCTCAGACTGCTCAGTCCAGCGAGTCGCTCCATATGCCACTCGGGCTACACCAGGTCATATGATCCATTCTAAGCCTGTCCTGCCATCCTACCCTGGAGAGAGTTGTCTGACTACAAAGGCCGCTGATCAGCGTGTACCAGTTGAGCTCCACAACTTGCTCTGTTGGCTAGTGGAAGGGTCAGAGGTGCAGAGCTACTACTCAAGCGCCTCCACAAGGATGCATGTTCCTGACCACATGCGAGCCAAAGTGTCTGCCATTGGGCAGGATATCGTGTATGCGGCAACCTCGGGTCAGATCTTGACGCCCAAACATGTGGCCCTACCAAGTGGCTGTACACCACTTAGCTAGATCGAAGCAGCTGGTTACGTTGCTGAACAAGTTCGGGAATGGGGTCTCAAACCCAAAGCTGCCGGAAGTTGAAGCCAGCCCCGTATGGTCATCATAACATAAGACTTATTCAAACTGACGAACAATGTGACACCTGACGTGCGAACAAAGACGGCACACACACACACACACACACACACACACACAGATAGGAAACCAGCTCAAATCCCTTGCTATGCTTCATTTTTATCAAGGCCATCATGCGTGTTATTCGGCCTGATAGAAACGTCCTTGCAAAACAAGAACATGTACCCGATAACCGCTATGCAAAGACGTTTCTATCAGTTCGAATAACACGCATGATGAACTACAGTCGTCGCCAAACAATCTGGCCAATGCTATGCTAGCTGTACGTTACATGGGCCGTGCGCATGCACTACCACTAGTAGTAGTGCACTGCAGAAGCAATGACTATGTCCCTCTGCATACACTCAGTAAGTCAGTGCTGGTACAGTAAACGCATGCATGCTACCAAGTTCCACTACCATGCCACCATGAAGCACCGCCGTGGACGCGTATCATACATGCACCACTGTACAGTATCCATGGTATCAATACTGGCCGGATTATTTCGGCGACGACTGTACAGATCGCTCAGACACACACACACGTACGCTCTCTGAACTGAGACTTATTCAGAGACCGTATGTACATGTATGTGTGTTTGAGCGATCTTTAACATGAATTGGCTGCAGTGGAGTCTGCACACTGTGAAAAAGACGACTGTACATGTAGGTAAAATGAAGCACAGCGAGGGCCCTGAGCTGGCAGCTCTCTACACTCTCGTTTCTTCACGCTTTGATCCTAACTTTCCTTCTTCTTTTCCTTTTCTAGTTAGTTAGGATCATAGTATGAAACAATTAGAAAAGGAAGGGAAGAAAATAGGTTAGGATCATAGCATAAAACGTTTCAAACTATGATCCTAACTTGTTTCCTTTTTAATTTTTTTCCACGCATAACATCGGATTCAAATCCGCACTTTTGCCATGCATGCAGTCCCTCGATGCATGTCGCATACATGCAGAGTCTACACAGTTGGCGAGTCACGTGATACAAATAAAGCTGTGGACCCAGACTAGCACCAGACGCTACTATTCGTACCGTCCTTTGCTTAGCTCCGGGGAAAAAAGCGCTGTGGACCCTGGCTAGCACCAGGTGCTACTACTGCACCGCTTCGGGAATCGACAATCTCAGAGCTACTGCAGTGGCACAAAGAACCCAAACACTACTAGCTAAGCAAGCACCAGTACATGTACACGCATTCTCCACAGCACATGCAACAGTCACCACGCAGAGTGTAACCGCTGATGACCAGCAGTTGAAAAACATGTTCAGTTGAAAAACATGCTCCATCCATGTGCAGTGTGTGATCATTACTACTAGCAACCAGCTGCCATTGTCACATGACTTACCTGTACACCGTCGCCATGGTGAATATCAATGTCTATATACAGCACTCTGGGATGGTACCTAGCAGTCAGGACAACAGAAGTGATCGTACATCATGATATCTACACTCTACAATGTGGTATGTGTACATACAATACAGTCAATGCAATGACATGGGTTCTGATGATGGCCAGCGGGTACAAACTTAACAGCTACGCATGCTGGCAAAACAAAGGCACAGGGTGGTATAGTTCTCTGTGGGGAAGCATGTAGGCACGAGAGTACAATGCAATTACAACTGGAGAACAAGTACTAGTACACAGCACGGACAGAACTGCACCATGGCCACCAGTACGCGCCAATAGATCCAGGAAATGTGGACAGAGTGCAGACAGCAGTAACTCATGCGCCACACAGTCGCAGAACACACTCCTTGGTCGATTTCTAGTATTTCTACATGACAACATCTAACTGGCATAACATTAGAATCAGTGCTATACTCAGTGGACTAATCGGGGGACGATGCACTACTGGCACTGCACAAGGGTACAACCATATAGTACATGTACTCAGCAAATCAAATACAGTGTACAGTCCATTTCAAAACTATAGACGCGTACCTAGGCAAAAACCGTTATGCCAGCATCTATACCACATAAAATCTGTGATCACTTTGTGCATAATTTTTTCCAAATTGGGCGTCTGTTATCTAATCGTTTAGAAACTACATGAGAGTAATTGTGGAGCGGTCCTGAGCAATATTCCGAAAACTATTCTCAAAAAGGTCCAGCCAAATTTGAAATATTTCAAAAACCCTACGCGTCTATAGTTTTGAAATGGACTGTAGATACAGTTGAACATCGATTATCCGACCATTCGATTATCCGTAACAGTTTTTTTGGGCGCACGTGACGTAGAGTACGCACTGTGCATGTAGTGAGCCATTCAAAAAATACGAAAATTTTGAAAAGTAAAAAGTAAAAAGGTCGTGCGGCTAGTAATAACCACTGAAAGTGTGTGAGTGACAGTTTTTTCTTATCCAGAACATTTGCCTTATCTGAACACCGCCTGACAGTTGTCTGCCCAGAGGTGGTCGGATAATCGATGTTCAACTGTAGTTGCCAGTGGGCATTACACACCGAGACAATCAAAACGTTATTACTACTCACTTTAGAAGTTCCAGGATGGAAATCACAATGTCATTCACGTAGCAGAAACCTGATGCCTACAGGTGATAGCACAGTGGAACACACAACACACGTCACGGAAATATTCAGAATACAGAAAAAAGCAAAACAAAGCTATTTTCAATTTTTCACTAATAGGGGATTCGCACACCCACATCCACACACATGGGTAAAACCATAGGGTTTTGGAACAGTACCGTACTGGCAATATAATTATATGGTCGCAGTGAGGCCATGAAGCGTTACATTGGCACATGTTTACCGCACGCAGGGCGTTACATGCAAAGTCGCACAGGAGCCGTTACACAGGTTTCTATATTGCCGCAGTCCTTTTTTTGCTATTGCAGGACTTCCTGCTGCGTCCAGTTTTGAACTTTTCACCACGCGGTACACGTGCTTTCACAGTTTTCAGCCTTGCACTGCAATGAAAAGATCGCCGCACCCCGCCGGACGCGCGTTACGAACGCAACGAAAATTTGTCGCACTAGCCTGGTCGCGCGTTACGCCGCAAAGTTTACTGTGTGTTGCAAGTAAAATGTAGTCGGAATGCAGACTTGGGAAAAAGGTTGCAGTTTAGGTTACATGTGATTTTGTTACTGGATGTTCTACGCGTGTCTGTGCGTAGTCTGAAGAGCGTCTTAGACCTCACCCACTGTCAACATGCACACTCTCATGCTCATTGTGGTATATCTCTCATTAGCGTATGATTTCCCTGGCCAACACTTTACTGGGTTGGCATCCCCCGTTCGAAATTTGCGAAGTAAAGAAATCAAACGACAACCAATCGAATCATTATCAAGTGAATACCAGCCTCACCTCTGATTTCTTGGCATGATGCAGTCCACCAGACCAGTTGATAGCAATATCGCACGCCTGTACAATGTCAACCAACAATACATGTACACAGTATCACATGCCTGTACAATGTCAACCAACAAGTCATGCATAGAACAGCACTGGAAACACAATTCTGGGAAGTTTGAGTGCAGTTGTAAGCCAACACACTCCACAAGTATGGTAAACAATGGAGTTACAATTACTACTTGCTCTATTACTATAGTCCCAACATTCCGGCCATTGGCCATCAACACCAGCAGTAATTTTACGGAATGAGTAGCCTGTACAGAGAGTACATAAGGCAGAAGACAACAGCAGCGCGGCAGACAGCCTCGGCAGCAACTCTACGCTGTAATGACATCCTCCAGCATGCCAAGGTGGCCCGCCTGGCTACCCTGCGCACTAAGGTCTCCAAAGCCAACCTGAGTGACCGTTCGTGGTGATCTGCCACCAAGCAAGCAGGTAGCAGCAGCAGAAATACCTCCATCCCAACTCTCACGCCGCAGCCTGGCTTGGAATGCGTATCGAATGCCAAAAAAGCTGAGTGTTTTAGGCAGTATTTCGCCTCAAGTGCAGCCTGGGCGCCGACGACTTCCCCGCCAACCAACCTGCGACTGATTCCCCCACGTTGCTCAGCGCACGGCTGAAAAGCTCTCAACGGTACGGTTCCACCCTGCCACGGTCAAGAAAGAACTCCGGCGCTTAAATGCATCGAAAGCTACTGGACTGGACGGCATTCCCGCTCGAGTTCTGAAGATGTGTGCTGACCCCCAAAGTAAGCCACTCTCCAAACTGTTCTCCCTTAGCTTCTATGGCATGATTATGCCGACATCCCGGAAGACAGCTAGAGGCACACCCATTCACAAGAAGAAATCCAAGAACCTGCCTCAACATTACAGACCTGTGTCTCTGCTGTCTATAATATCCAAAGTGATGGAAACGATCGTCAATCGTCAGATAACCAGTTTCCTGGAGTCCCACAATGTCATCTCTGCGAAACAGTTCGGGGCTCAGAAAGGGCCTGAGCACAGCTGGCGTCTTAACCAAGCTCCACTGTGAATGGTCCAGAGCAGCCGGCCTTGGAGGAGCCGCCCATGTTTTGGCGATAGATATAGCAGGCGCCTTTGATAAAGTCAGCCATGCTGGCCTGCTGCACAAGGCCTAGACGGCCCGCTTCTCGGATGGCTGGAAAGCTACCTGCACAACCGGCGCCTGCAGGCTGTTGTGGGCGGCCAAGAGTCCTCCCTGCACCATATTCAAGCAGGGGTACCACAAGGTAGCATCCTTGGACCTACATTATTATTCCTCTTGTATGTAACTGACTGCGAGGACACCTTGCCTGCTGGGGCTGAGCTTGCCACCTATGCAGATGACACGACACTGTATCTGTGCATCTCTGCCACCGCCAGCATATCCGACTCTGCAACACAACTCCAGGAAGCAGTGGGCGCCGTCTCCCACTGGGGTTCCAAGTGGAAGGTCACCTTCGAGCCATCCAAATCTCAGGCCCTCATCATTGACCACCGCAAGCCTCCCCCAGCGCTCCCATCGGTGCTCTTCAATGGCGTGACTGTTCCTGAAGAGAAGGAAATTAAACTTCTGGGTGTAGCATTCGATTCGCAACTGTCCCACTCAGCACACTTCCGGGCCGTGGCCTCAAAGGCTGCCCAACGCCTACACTTCTTGAAAAGCGTCCGCACGGCAGTCTACAAAGGCTTCGTGCGGCCAACAATGGAATACTGCTGCCTGGTGTGGATGTGTTCATGCACATCCAGGCTGGACAGAATCCAGCACAAGGCACTGAAGGTTATTGGCCCAGGCGCCTGGCTCCCCAACCTGAAACGCCGCCGACTGGTTGCTGCGCTTTCGTTCACCTTCAAGCTGTCCTACCTTCCAACAACAAGCCCCCTGAAGCCCATCCTCCCACCTCCACCCAACCCCCGCCCAGTGGGTGGTCGATCCACTAGGTTAGCCACGGAGACTGCCCACTGCCACCCGCTCCAGCTCAAGTCAACGTTGCCCGTGCACACTCGTAGCAGCCTCCAGAGTTCCTACCCAAACTGCATTATTCCCTTGTGGTACAGCCTACCAGCGACCATTCTACCAGCACGGCCACAACCCAGACAGCTCCAGTCCTTCAAGGAAAGTGCAGCAAGTATCTGCTGCACCTGAACTGGCAAACAGCCACCGACGCCCTATGAAACGGTTTAGACCAGCACCTCACTAGCATCCTCCCTCCCTCCTTACCACAATGTGATGATTGTTATCTTTCACTCTGCTTCTCTCACGACCATCTACCCATTGTCCTCGTTCCTCACTATTATTCATTTCCCCTCCTCCTCCCCGCCTCATGGTTTTACTGCATTATGGCGCGCTTTTTGTCTGCGTAGACGCCGAGACCTTTAAGGTCGGCAGAGCAGCCTGGCCCCGCCACCACTTCTCGCACATATTCGGGAATATAGTGGACTTTTGTATAAAAAAAATTGGAACTCTTTGTACAGGCTACTAATCTGTAAAAATACCTCCTAGGTGTAGACATAATATGTGTACACCTAGGCAAGGCTGGAGGATCATTGTCAGAACATACGATTGTTGTAAAAAGACAGCTAGCTTACCCCAGTGTTGAGCTTGCTTGCTCCTTCCAGAGATGCACCGGTGTAAATGGAACAGAACTCATAGATACCCGAGAAGATGGGACTGTACATGACGTTACATACATACAAACAAACACACACACACACACACACACACACACACACACACACACACACACACACACACACACATGCACACACACACACACACACACACACACACACACACACACACACACACATGCACACACACACACACGCACACATGCACAGACACAAACATACACAGATTCGATAGCAATAGCCGCTGCCCCTTTCCCCTCCGTAGCGTAGTGTAGAAAGTTACCAACCCTGCTGTCGTATATGAACCCCTTGATCACTCCCATTGACATTTATGTGAGTCTAGTGACCTTATGTATGGACAAAGGTCAAAACACTATCACAAATATGGATCCAGATCCACAACAGAAACAAGTAGAGAGTTTTAGAAAGAGTTTTTTTTGTACAAGTACAGTTCTATTTTACCTCAGCTGTGAAAGGTTTGAATTTTCTCTGCTTTCGCGATGAGTTCTTAAAGTTAGTTGAGAGTAAGAAAAGATCAATGTCGTCGTGTGAGTTTTGTCGTGAGCAAACTGGGCTCCCGGTTCGTCACTATCACATGCCATGCGGAAATTGAACTTGGGCACAGCTGCGGGGGAGTTCAAGATTGCTCCAGAGTTCCTTCGCTACGGCGGGGAAGGCTTGCACCACCGTATTCTCAATCTTGTTCGGGCGGTGAAGAAATAGAACGAGTGGCCAGTTTCACCTACCTCGATGATTCTCCTCACGATACCGGCACACTGGATGACGAGGTAGCAGTGCGGCTGGCTAAGGTATCAAGTGTTTTTGGCTCCTTGCAGAAGTCTATTTTCCAAGACAAGCCCCTATCCATACGCACGAAGATACTAGCGTATATTATGTTCCGCGCATTTGCGAAATCTGAGAATTCCAGATTGCTTGCACATTCTGGGAATTCAGAAAATAATTTTAGCACAAAGCCAGTCACGAAAACTTGCGTCCATGAGATTTCTGGAAACACACGCCACATGCAAGTGGATGTACTTGTGGTCCAACGTTCATGAGTGTGGCTCATGCAGTCTGGGGATTTTGTTGAAAATACATTCGGGGCCGTCACTTCAGCTCTTTAGAAACTACCCCGTCTCTCTGCCTCTGTCTTTCTCTGTCTTTCTCTATCTACCTGTCTGTCTGTCTGTCTGTCTGTCTCCTCTAATGAACCCCAGACCAACTGGATTAGTTGAGGTAGCTCGTGTCAACAGACTTGCCGAAGGGCACGTGGTGGCTACAATGTCAATGTGTTTGTTTTCTGCACCTACTTGCCACAGAGATTCTCTCCTGGGTCCTCAACGAAACAAGCACTATGACATTGTTTGGCTTCTGGTACCCGACATCACTCTTACCTAGCTCTAAATGCCATGACCATATCTTTAGTGGACATCAAGTCATGAAAATAATTTTAATTGTTAAATACCAAGCTACATACATTAAAATAAAGTACTGGGAAAACACTTGTATGAATCCAACAGCATCTTACCAGTCTTCGCCGACACAAAAGTTCGTGGTGGTATCTTTCAAAATGGTTTGCGAGTTATCCGGTGTTATGCTGCACACACACATATACACACATATACACACATACACACACACACACACACACACACACACACACACACACACGTGCGTACGTGGGCATGCACATGCACACATGCACACACCACCACCACCACCACCACCACCACCACCACGCGACCACAACAACAACCACGACCACCATCACCACCACAAAATGGAAACATAGCAAAAAGCAGGCAACAAAGACGAGAAAAGACTGTTTATAAATACATATACACACATGCTCACATACTACAGTTGTGCTCGGTGAAATCCGACCCAAAGTGCATACTAGTATTCGGTGCCCTCAACTGGCACGGCCCTTGACGCCCTGGAAGTGATACGAATGCGACCGCACGTGCACACATGTACAAGCACAGCGATGTGATCGGAGCTGGTCCAGGACGGCGGCTTTGCACGTTGGGTCGGATGTCACCGAGCGCAGCTGTAGTGGTGCCTACAGCATCATGAGTATATCATCACAAAAATACCCCAAAACAAAGCATACGCCGCCGCTGGGTACCTAGCACAATCAGCACACATTGTCTTCGCCAACAAGAATAAGAACATCGTATTCACTCACGATTGGAGGAATTTGATGTAGTCAGAGTCGTGGAAGCGACACATATCCTGCTGGGAGGCGTGGTAGGGCCGGCAAATCTACCCCCAAAGTACAGCAATAATCATACACAGACAAACCAACACACACATCAGTACAAGGTTACTACAAGCACACTTTGAAAAACAAAGTGCTGGAAGCAGTCTGTCTTGGCCAAGCAGTGTTGGCACAGCTATGCCAGAAGTAATAGCTGAGCTGACTATGGCGAGGACCAACAAGCAACAGCACAACTACAAGCAAGCCCAATAACTCGGGCAAGGACCCCTCACACTAGCAAGTTAAGTTAGTTCTACTGCAGCAGCATTGGTGGTGGAAGCCATGCTATAATGAATGCACTTGGATGAACCTGAGAGCACAGAGCAATTTCACCTCTCTACGTGATAACACATCATACCCTCAGCTATATAACTGACGAGTAGCTTGACAGCCCTGGAATACTGCAATGCACTAACAGGCAATACCTCATACTACATTATAGTGGTGGAGACTACTGCATTCCCAGCAAAATATAATACGCTAAAACTAGCCTAAAAGACAAGGCCTGAGAGTGACTAAGACGTCCTTCTACATGAAACAGGGAGAATGAAGCCGAATACTCCACTACAGCTGTACTTGTGGTACACTCATTAAGGTGGTGAAGATATACTTGGCGAAAAGGTGGTAAATCCACGCCTGTCCACGCATGCTCTATAAGGTACAAGGTTACAATCTGGCACAGAGCTCTCCTTCTCACCACCACGATCGCTTTGTGCATGGCGCCTAGTTGATGCATGGCTAGTGGTATCTGACATAGCGGGCTGGTACATCAGGTAGCGCTTGGTGGGAAGGAGAGCTCTGTGCCAGATTGCAACTTCGCAGCTGAGACAGCACGTGTGGGCAGGCGTGCATTTACCGTCATTTCACCAGGTGTATCTTTACCACCACATGAGTCTACATGAAACGGTCGTCATGTATTTCAATTTTCAACACTAGGGCGGTAGAACAAAGACCACTAAAACATACACCCATGGCATTCAACTTCCACATGATCACGGCAAACTGAAGCGTTGGTGGGAAGAAAAGCCCATGGAGCCATAGGAAATGAATGAGGCCAAGCATCTTCTTGAGAAAACCCACCCACTGGGCCAGGCATCTAGATTCACACCTGATCCACTCACTGTACATATACACTGCAGTGCTACCGAGATTACTATTGATGTTTGCTAGAGTATCTCACATCACACAAAGCCAGTGCAACATTAGAGCTGCTTGTGTCACCCCAGCAGCGATGGAATGTGGCACATTGCAAACATAAACAGAAGGTCTCTTTGTGTTTCCCACATAACTGTGCACCTTTATATGAACTGAAATGTATGCGCATCGTGTACACTTGACACTGTACTGCTGAAAAGTACTGCCAATGTGACTACAATCAGTAGTGTACACTCATACCTCGGTTATCCGGGCAGTCCGGGACCGAGCACTGCCTGTAACTTTAAAGGGGAAGTTAAGGCAAAAATTAAAATTTCACCAGTTGTAGTCTTCAGGGTGCCGAGTCGAATGGTCGTGGTCCGAGGAAGCTGAGACGCTCCCTTCCTACTTGAATCCCAATCGAACTCGCGCACTTCCACCGAAACTGGGTGACTGCGCCCTACTAGATGGGGATTTGTATGCAAAATGTAACTAAAAGCGCCATTTCGTTCTTATAAAAGCACGGATGACCGCGATTGGCCCATATGTTGTAGTCTTTTGGACGCTGAGTCGACTGGTTTTGGTCGGAAAAGGCTGCGATGCAGCGTTCCTCCTTTATTCCCAATCGAACATGGTTGAACAAGCGGTCATGTGCTCCTGGGTGCCCAAATCACCTGGTCACCACGCCAGCAGGCGACAACTTTCACACCAAGGTTCAACTCGAGTTCAACTCGAGTGACAGGACTGCACCCAAAAAAGGTCAAACAGGCTAGTAAGTTGTACCCTGCAGGCACGGTGACCAGGTGACTGGCGTACGCAGGAGCACGTGACCGCTTGTTCAACCATGTTCGATTGGGAATAAAGGAGGAACGCTGCATCGCAGCCTTTTCGGACCAAAACCAATCGACTCAGCGTCCAAAAGACTACAACATATGGGCCAATCGCGGTCATCCATGCTTTTATAAGAACGAAATGGCGCTTTTAGTGACATTTTGTATACAAATCCCCATGTAGTAGGGCGCAGTCACCCAGTTTCGGTGGAAGTGCGCGAGTTCGATTGGGATTCAAGTAGGAAGGGAGCGTCTCAGCTTCCTCGGACCACGACCATTCGACTCAGCACCCCGAAGACTACAACTGGTGAAATTTTAATTTTTGCCTTAACTTCCCCTTTAACCCTTTACCGTTTGTACGTACAAATTTCGACCGCTCGCGGTCGATGACTTCTATGCGCACAGCGCTGGACTGGTTCACCGCAGAGAGCTGGGATTTTCCCTACTGGTAGCCAAGATGTACGCGCAGAGGGTGCCGACAATTTTTTTGCGTGATGCAATATAAAAAATTGCGAAAATCGCGACTTGAAAAATGCGCTTGGGGAAAAGTGCGTACCCTGCGACTTTTGGTACTGCCTGCAGATTATTTCGACTTTGCTTGAGCTGGCCTCACGACTGTCTGCCCTGCTGTGCAAGCCATGGACGCGGAGCAAGCTCTTTCGCTTCTGGAGACCCTTCCTGACGACTCTGTCGCTGCCTCATCCAGCGAAGATGAGTTTGTGGAGCCAGACAATCCTGTTGAAAATATTTATTCTGACAACGACCGCGACGATGACATGGCGAGTGAAAGCAGCGCCAGTAAGAGTGCCATGGATGTCACAGACGACGACAGTGTCGCTGAGATGAGTGCCACTAATGGTGGAAGGGGACGTGGCAGAGAGAGAGGATTCGGCCTTGGAATAGGCCGTCGTCACGGTAGAGGTCGTGGTGTACAGGTACTATGTATAGCCAGCGGTGCAATCTGCACTAGTCGATATTTGCAATACTTGGGACAATGCTGACACCGCTGTGACTGGTAACACTCCTGCATTCCACCCAGAGAACGAACCTGGTATCCACTTACCTGAGAGAGCCACTCCAGTGCAAGGATCTGATTTATTGCATATTGCAACAGTTTGCCCGATCGGCAATACATCCAAATAATTATTAGTGCTAAATAGTGAAATCTGTGTTCGTTTTCTGGACTTGAAAGTTGTTGCATCGCATTCCTGAGGGTTTTTACTTTCAGAATCACCCCATTTTGTACATAATAAAAGTGAAAAATAAAAAAGTTACGGCATGAACAGTGACGGTCGGTTTTTGCTGTACAAATACCTAAAACGGTAAAGGGTTAAAATGTCCGTAACTCCGAATCACATACATTTTGATGGGGAAAGGTCATAGATGTGGCATATTACGTCACTACTCCCACTGAAACCTGCCCAAAGGGCACCGGTTGACCGAAGTGCCCGTAACTTCGGGGTCCGGATATCCGAGGTATGATTATACATCATCTAAAGGCACCCAGCCAATTGTCAAGCAGCGTTCAAACCTCCCTACCTCCATCTTCTCATGTAGTCCATAGCTGAAGACCAAGGTATTGGTGAGTGCCAGGCGGTGTGGCTTCATAGGATGCCCAACGCCTACAGGGTTGCGTGTATCACCAATACATGCACACACATGCACACACACACACACACACACACACACACACACACACACACACACACACACACACACACACACACACACACACACACACGTACACACACACACCACACACAAGTACAGTAAGAAAGATACGGACTCTCATCGAAACAGACACAGACATACAGTATCATGTAGACTGCTACAGTCCGTATCAGCTATAGCATACCCTTTTCGTTTTCTGCGATTTTATCACTACCATGGAATGTCGCTTATCCGGCGTTCAGTCATCTGAAACGCCTGCTATCCAACAGTGCACTGACAGCTCATACACTGCATATGTATAGTCCTAGCTTAGTAAATGTGGACAGTGAGCAACATGACCGTTGCCGGTATGTAACATTAGTATACAAGTCGGCCTCTAGAGACGAGTATGGTGACTGCCTCAGGATGATGCCAGTAAGAGAGCATCAAAACATACAGAGAGGAATATCGTAGAGGCATGCTTCACTGTTCTGTTGATGGTCAAAAACAAGATGGCTACGCAGATTCAGTTATCCAGCATATTCTCTCATCCAACAGTGTCTGGTTCCGAGGGGGCCGGACACCTGACGCGCAACTCTATATCTGATCCATCACAACAACTGATACTACATGCACTGTACATGTACAAGGTTGTACACGTACGAGTACGAGTACATGAGACACACACACACATCAACAGCAAGGTCATGACTGTGTGTAGATGTGTGCATGTAAATGGCATTGTACATGCACTGCACAGTCATGTACTGTACTGTACTGTGGACACGTTGTACCTCCTTTCAGGTGCACAGTCATGCACACATATGCACGTGGATAACCATGGATGGACCATTGCCACACCGGACCGCATGAAGACGAAAGGGAATAGAGGAAGTACGTATCGCCTACTATCACTATAGCTGTCGTTATTGTAGTGTGTAATGCATGTTTTGATTCCGGTGCACCGTTGTAATATCCGATACAGTACAGTTGCATGTCACTTATCCGGTCGCCAGTTATCCGAGCACGTCGGTTATCCGACAAGCCCGGGAGTGGTAATTTTATGACTCTCAACAGTAAAATTCTTTTTTTAAATTGTTGTATATTATACGGTGTAATATGCATTTACTTGAAGTAGATGCGGTCAATTGATCAAGTATGCTAACATGTATGTGTACATGGAGCAATTCATGAATATGCATGAATATATTTGGGTATTGTGTACATAAATCAGTGAAATCCAGCCATATATGCACATAAAAATGATATCAGTTATCCAACATCTCCAGTTATCCAACATGCCTGATTCCCGAAGTGGTCGGATAAGTGACATTCGACTGTACTACAACCGATTATTGGTTATAGTGAAATTTTGAATGGTAAAAATATGCACTTTGCTTTTGATACTTTATTTTGATATCACCTTAGCCGATATATCCTACCTTGCACCTGGTACCATGGTCCCTCTATAGCCGATACAGACTGTGAACTATGTATGAAAGAGAAACTGCAAGTGGGCTCCACCTATCCTACATGTACACCATCCGTATACAACCTGGGTACAGTCTGGCTCAGGGGGTAGTACGTACCATAGTGAAAATTGCCCACATCAGGGTCATAGAAGTAGGAGACTCTCTTCTTGCTGCCTGGCATTCTCCGGCGGCAAGAGGGAAACAAATGTAAGAAGCTCTGGCCTAAATGGGCTTACAATTGTAGGTAGTCAAACGCATATCTGCGTGTCGCACGTTGAAAAGGTAGTTATTACGATTATTACAAAGTCTATCCGCATTAGAAATCATACTTCGTAAACTGAAGACTACATTCCTCGACGAGAGGTCCAGCTAGCTGACGTCCAGTATAGGCCTCTACAAATAATTGCAGCCACCAATAATGTTCCAGTGAGCTGGCACTTTTCTTCTTTTCAATACAATATCGCGCGATTCAAACTGAAAAATGATTGTTTTGTGAAGCCCAAAAATAATCGTGCTGCCTGACCTGTGACGTCATAATTATGCATGTTGTTTTTTAAAAACTTTTTTATCATGTCTTGTATTGTGCGAAGTTGTGGACTCCCTGGTTTGTGAACCGAACAGGAAAGAGAGGGTAGAGCGGCCCGGTCTCAGGCCAGTCGGAGTTACAATTATAGTGTCACTGTGGACAGTGGACTGGGTACAGACCAGTGGACTGGATACAGTACGTGGACTGGGTACAGTGGTCAGTGGACTGGGTACAGTGGTCAGTGGACTGGGTACAGTGGTCAGCAGGACCGGCGGAAACAGTTTGTGATTGGTCCGGCCACACCCTAACCTTTCATAATGCTACTCAGTTGTGTATGATATGGAGGGTGTACACATGACCTCCTCAGCAATAAACACACGTTGGTGGCCAAAATGTTGGTCCGGCCATCATCCGGGCCTGACCAACCGGACCAGTTCCGCCGGGCCTGGGACTCGTCACTCAGTGAACTGGGTATAGTGGTCAGTGGACTGGCCGTCCTCGTCGTCAAGCTGGACAAGCTAGATAAGAAGAGGCGGCCGAGACCATCTTCGCCGGCACGGGTGTGTCTATCACCACTGACGGGGCCACCTTGGACCAGCCATCGGAACTGATCAGTTCGTGCAGGAGTTTGTGGCTTCCAAGGTGGCCAACTGGTCACAGGAGCTGTGCAAGCTGACGGATTTCGCCCGATCACAGTCTCAAGCAGCATACTCTGCACTGGTGAACAGCCTCCAACACCGGTGGTCCTCCCTGTGTCGGGTTCTCGATAGTGCTGCAGAACAGCTGGCACCCCTGGAGGACATCATCCACAGCCGCCTTATCCCTGCCATTAGTGGACAGACGGCGCCCAGTGAAGCTGAGTGCATTTTGCTCACTTTCCCCTGCCGGCATGGAGGCCTTGGCGTGGCCAACCCTACCACCTTTGGCTCACAGTACGGCACCTCCAGGCTAATCACCACTGCCCTCAGACAAGATCATGGCGCAAGAGGAGCACCTCGATGATGGTCTTGCCTGTGTTCGCAGGGCCAAGAGTCAGGCTCGCTCTGAGGCCAGAAAGGCATTGAAGATTGCTGCCGACACGTTCCGCACCGAGCACAGCGAACTCGATCTCGCTATCAGTCTGGCAGAGGAGAAGGGAGCATCAAGCTGGCTCACCTGCCGACCCATCGCTTGCCATGGCTTCGCTTCAAGTGTCGAAGGGGGAATTCCGGGATGGCCTCTGCCTCCGCTACGGTTGGACCCCTTCTCGCCTGCCCACCACGTGTGTTTGTGAGAAGGCATTCACCACTGCTCACGTCCTGTCCTGTCCCTTCGGTGGGTTCCCCTCGATCCGCCATAACGAGGTGCGTGACATACTGGCAAGCTCATTGAAGGGTGTCGCCCACTACGTCGCAGTGGAGCCACATCTCCAACCCCTGACTGGGGAGCAGTTCCAGCTCCGGTCAGCATCAACCGAGGATCCGTTGAAGCTCGTTTGGATGTGGTGGCCAGTGGAGTTTGGGGGGGGGGGTTCGGTTCGAACCCACTTTTATTGATGTACGGGTGTTCAACCCTTATGCGTCTTCGTCTCTTCGACCCGCACCTCCTCTCTCTCCGCCTGGTACCGGCACCACGAGCTAGAGAAACGGCGTCGATACGATCGGAGAGTCCGAGAAGTGGAGCGATCCACTTTTCTCCCCTTTGTGCTCTCTTCCACCGGAGGATGCGGCAAGGGTGCTGCTGCACTGGTGAGCAGGATTGCACACCTCCAGTCGCTACGTGGGAGGGAGGCATATTATTGCCCACCTCCGCTGTAGGCTGGCTTTCACCCTGCTGCGTTCGAGTGTCATGTGTCTGTGTGGAGCTCGCCGAGTTTGGCAGCCTCCGATGGATGGCTGTGCCTCCCTGGCTGTCGTGGAGGCTAAGGTGTCCCGTTGAGCCTTGGCCCGTGATTGTGCGGACTATGCTATGCTTCTCTTGCTCTCTGATCACGTGTGACGTCATCATTATGTGTGACTTGTTTTCCAATCCTCCGCCATGGCAAATCGTGTTTTGTTCACCCGTAAACTGGGTACAGACAGTGGACTGAGTACAGTGACTGAGTACAGTGGACTGGGTACGGACCAGACAGTGGACTGGGTACAGTGGACTTTTATTCTTTTCCTTTTTTTTCGGGTAACCGCTTCTTTCAGGGCAAGATGAAGTCTATAGATGTGAATCATGTGATAAAATAAAAGCACCATGAAAAGAAAAGAAAAATTAATATTTCAGTACAATACAAAGAAAAATTCCAAGAGATCCGTGCCGCCCCTTATTTACTACGACATAAAGTAGGTCATTATCCACATGTCCTTTGCGTCTCTGTTGCTTTTCACTGTTTTTATTTGACATTCTCTTTCTTTACTGAGTTGTTGTTGCTTTGATTTGCTACTTTTTTGTTTCCCCTCCTTACTTCTATTTTTCGCCGTGGTTGGCAATCATTAATATTGACCGGTGTTTCCACCGAGTCTTGAGATGTTGTAATAAATATAAATATATAAAAATTAATATTTCAGTACAATGCATGATGTACAGGTACATTGGAAAACTCCAAGAAATTCCACGTAAAACAGCCGGAATTCAGTTCTCAATGGGCCATGCCTAGCGCGCGCCTACCCCAGCACCATCGATCCTGCATCGCCAGGCCAGTCAGGCGCCTTCTGGACCTGTGTAGCCGGAGGTCGACTGCGTGGAACACTGCGAATCGGGTACGAATTCGCACCCTAGCCATTATGATTGAAAAGCGGGCTTGTCCCACTTGAGGGCGAGGCGACCAGCAAGTCGCTTCTGCTGCTACCACTACTCTTATTCTTCTCCGGATCATCTTGGATTTCGAATAAAGTTCTTTGACTACAGTAGTACTAGTAAGTCGTTTCTGGTAGCTTGCATACTCTCGATGCAGCACCACGTCCGTGGAACGCACCAATGGTGTGAAAGACCCACAGAGGTCCTCGGAGGCCTGCACTTCCTCTTCTTGGCGTTGGCAGCACGGTTGGAAGTAGGTTCCCAGGATGAGTGGGAGTGGGTGCGTTGGCATCAATGCTGCGGCTATAAAAAAAAAAACGCCACCCTGTTATCCTCCCACACACCCCGGGCAAGCCAATCTGCCCGAAGAGCAGGCTGCCCCGTCCGATCACCCTCCGGCACCATGATCGGCTCGACGACAACACCACCGAATGCCATCATAATTATTGTCATCTAGCTTTGCATCGCTATCACGCAGATCATTGTGGCCTCGCTTGTAGTTGATAAGCCCACCTTTCGGGCAGTCAAGGCCATGCTGAAGGGAGAAGGGCTTCCCAGAACCATCACGTTGCGCTGGCAGGGCAAGCGGCTGCCGACCATAGCGGATGACAAGTTGATCCAGGAATTCCGTACTTTGTAGACAGATCATACCCCTCGCGCTTCAGGTGTAGCACCGTAGGCATGCCGGAGGCATTTCCCTGTATGATGCGGGAGAGTCTTGTTACAGGGAACCCTAAGTGCTCTTTACAGAGCGAAACAAAAACCATGAAAACGGATAGATGCTCAACCTGACGAGGTCCACGTGGAACGTCCAAAACCGGGGAGAAAAAGTTTCGATGTATGATTTTGTACAGGGAGTCGCCCAGAGTGCAGGATTTGCCGTCTAAATTCCAAAATATTTCTGCGGCAGGACCCCCAGACCCCCTTAAAAAAGATGGCCCTTCGGCCGCACCGCCCCGCGGAAAGCAGCCTCCGGCCCTGCTTAGGGCTATATTGACTGCTTATATTTGACTCCTATTTAGGGATTGAACACAATGCTTTGGCTAGTCGTGGTAAATCTAATATTGACTTCGTACTAGGTCAATATAGGAAATACAAACCTCGTAAAAGACCTCGACTGCACCTCTGTCTTTTACCCGGCTTTTATTTCCTATATTGACCTCGTACTCAGTCAATATTAGATACGAAACAAGGCGGAGGGCACACTGAGTCTGTGTTGAGAGGGCCTACTCTCCCTAGATTACAGAGGACCTGCTCCCAGGGCTTGACCCCATACGTTCATGCATGCATCCATTCCGACCGGTCACAAGACCGGTACTATAGACTAAAGCAACGCTATCAACCGGTTTATGGCTGCAGTCAGGAACACTATTCGCAACACAGTGTGTTCTGTGCCACTGTTACCTGTTGTTATCATCAGTTCCCGTGAGAAGCATAACGATGTGTTTGCCTCAGCGATCGGGAAATGGTCCTGTTTTTGTCCACTGGATGGCCGTGTGATGATCACACCCTGCCAAAGCATTTTAGCACTGTCTGTGATCTGAAGTCAAGGTTCCTCGCAAGAATCAATACCCTCCCCCATGGACTCTTGTGTCACTAGTAGTGTCAAAATATACATTATTATGCTTGTCCGCATGCATTCCGACACACATGTGTTTTCTTCTTGCTTGCCTTGGATCATTCCCACTGACTTATCATTCACCCAGGACACCCGGGAGACACCACACGACGTCAGTTATCAGTGCACCGAGTTATCATGTAAAGCAGTGTTGACTGTTGTCCTTCCATCACTGTGTTGATCTGATCAGATGGGTCAAGTCGCAGGTTATTCTCACTCAGCAGGCTGGCTGGTATGGCAGTATCAGGCATGAGTTGTGATCATACAGGTAAAGATGCGGGGTAGGGAGGAAGTTTAGCAAAATCAAACTGAGCGAATGCTGTGACCATGGTGACTGCAATCATCATACAGTAATAGTACTGCGCCATGGGTCCGGAATGCTGCGTCGCGGTGGAAATGATTATTGATTGTCGGATGCATCATATCAGTGCCATGATAGGATTGCGTATGGCATGTGCAGTCGCAGGTGGAGGAGGAGGCAAATGACGCATGCACGCAAGGCTAGGCCGCAGTGCTCGTATGTGAAAATGATGCTGACACTGGCTAGCTGGTGTCGTGAGCGGAATCACTAGCTACTCACATGCGGCTTCCGCAGTAAACGTTATCAACAGTCACGGTAAATGGTCAAATAATGCATGATTGAAGTGAAGTCAATGTGTTCGAGTCTGATGGATCTCCCAAATTGCATCATTTACAACTAATGATGTCATTTTGAGTTCAAAAAGTTCACCATTACCTTCAAACGTGTTTATCATCAGGGTGCGTGGTGGCATGGATAAAGGAAAGTCGAAGTGAAAGCGCACCATTCTAATCAATCAAGGCAATTAGGACTGTAGGGACACAACATGCAGTGCGATGTTGTCATATAAAACACTGGGTGGGATCAAGGTTGTGTCGATGAAAACAAGAGCAAGACTGAATGCTTCCAGGCAAGCTGAGATAAGTACTAGTATTTGGTGCTAACACTCTTGCATTAGCTGTGTCAATGAAAACAAGAGCAAGACTAGTGAGGTCTTCCAGGCAGGCTGAGTAGAGCGGACACGTACGCGGTGCTAACACACTTGCATTAGGCGGTGCAGTGGTGGAGATGAGGGTAGGGTGGCAGTGGATCGCCGTGGAAACCGCCAGAGTGGCTGCTTGACACCGGTAGCTGATACTCTGGAACGCCGTACACGTCCCTTGCCGATAGCGGTGTCGGAGGCGTCAGACATACACTCCGGTACGACTGCGCCATGCTCTGCTGCTGTTGTTGCTGCTGCTGGTGCATGACTTGGCTGATCGACGCGGGCAGGCCACCACTGGACATGCCAGCAGCAGCCGCCGCCGCCGCCGCGACTGCTGCTGCTGACGAGGCGGGCACGCTGGTCGGAGCTGTGGAGGGCATCATGTCAGCAGCAGACGTGCCCAAATGCAGCTGAGCAGCAGACGTTACACTGGCAGGATGAAATTCCGGACGACCTAGTGGCCCTGCAGCACTGCCGGCGTCAAGTCTGCTATTCGATGATGTAATCCCCTGCAGCAGCAGATCCGAATGATAGCTATCAGGTGCCGTTACCAGGCTGTGGTTGGACAGTGGCCTCAGTGGTGGTGGTGATCCCTCCGAACATCCTGACATCAGAGAGGACAGCACATCACTGCTGGTGCTGGTAGCGGGCAGATGAGCAGGAGATGGATCCACCAGTATTGGCAGAGCACTATCAGCAGCATCAGGCACTATTTGTGTAGCTGACCCGGTATGTCCTGCAGCCCACTCGCTAGGGTCATAGCACGGTCCACACGCCTCGGCATCGAGGCGACGTTGAGCATGCTCAGTCAGCACGGACGCAGGCCACTCCGAACAGTGCCCCTGGGCCATCTGCGCGAAGTGCTCGTGAACTGTTGCCGGTCCGCCAGTGCCTTGCTGTCCGGGCATACCGTGGCACGGGTAGAGGTGAGGCGGTGGAAACCCGGGCATGGCCCCTGCGCCGCCGTTTGCAGCCAGGGCACCGTAGTACATGGCCATGTCACTGTTGTAGGCTGATGCGTCACCCAGGAACATCCGGTGTGTCGGACGTCTGGTGTACCTCTTGCGGCGTCTCAGGAAACTGCCATTCTTGAACATATCGGAGCTGGCTGGGTCTAGGGCCCAGTAGTTACCCTTGCCTGGGTTGTTAGTGTCGCGTGGTATCTTCACAAAGCAGTCATTCAGTGAGAGGTTGTGGCGAATAGAGTTCTGCCAGGCGGGCCACTTCTCGCGATAGTAGGGAAAGTGGTCCATGATGAAGTCGCATATCTCACCCAGTGTTAGGCGCTTGTCAGGAGTCGAAGAGATTGCCATGGAGATGAGGGCAATGTACGAGTATGGTGGCTTGGTACTGGACTGTGCCGAGCGACCCTTCTTGGGTTTCACTTCTCGATCATAAGCCCGCACTACCTCTTGACAGTAACCCAGGCTATCGCCAGCCGGAGTCAACGGCGACAGAAGATCACTACTAGAGCTGTGGGTCTGCTCTATGGACAGACTTGTGGGCTGAGCTGGCGTAGCCATTGTCACAGCTCCGGTGGCTGCTGAACTCGGAACGGAGGAGACCGCTGCAGCTGCGGCACTGAGGGCTTGGGAAGAGTGATGACCGTCTTGGCCACGCATCGCTACTCCTGCACTGGTGTGCTGATGCTGCTGCAGTTGCTGGTCTTGCTGAGGAGGAGGCGGTGGCAAGCACATCATACTTGCAGCAGCAGCAGGCTGTGCGGGCTGATCCAGGAGGTCACCGGGATACTTGAAATGGCGTGGCAGGTCTGGAGGGCTGCCTCTGTCCGTATAGTGATGCATGCCTGCTGGTCCACTGTGAGAGCAACTGGACGAGAACGCATCTAACACTTGCATAGCTCACCGGCTACGGTATATATCTGCTGCAGACTCAGCAAGGGTGAAGTCCTGCACGAAACAAAACATGGGAAACGAGAAAACAGCTAATGTCAGTAAACCTCCACAGACGGCTTCAGGGTCCCCTTGCAGTTTACCATCACCATAAAGATGACTCCGAGTACGCATGATGGTAATACGTGAAAACCAGCGCAACCTACGCAAGCTAATCTTTACCGTGCACTGCAGACTTTGCGAAATGCCTGAGGTGGTGGTGGTTTAACCATTATGAGATCAGGCCACCAGCATGGTTCAAAGCTGTGCGATTCCCGTGCACGCTCGCGGGGGAGGAAGAATGCTAACACAAGTTCATGCACAAACATTCCGATTGCTTCTGCATTGTAGCGCGGCACGCGACGAAACCAAAGGCGGAAAGGGTGAACAAAGACTGTCTGACCCAGACTCCAGGGCCTAGGGCCAGGAGAGCCGTGAAGGGATGAGTATTGCTGGCTCCCTATACTGGAGGAAGACCTACATTGTACATGCACTGTGCTCCGTGTCAGTTCAGAATAGCCTGATTAGCCAGAGAGACCCTCAACCTACATGCACATTTGTACTGATTGTAGCCTGAACTGATAGGGGCAGTGAAACAGTGCATCCAGCCACGAAATACTGAGCATTTGGACGAAGTAAGGGTAAGTCCGGAGGAGGTGAACCTATTCAACAGACAGGAAAATGTTTACTTGCCGCGACATGATGCAACGATACACTAGTGCACTGTACTCAGTCCATGTGGAAAAGCATAGACAAAGCGGAAATACCCCAGCCCTGTGAAGCTCTACCGGGGGAGAAGCAACTCACCAACAGTCCTGTTGTACCAAGATAATATCTACCAGCGCATGGCAGTTTTATACTACATGTACATGTAGTACACATAGATGCATTCACCCTGTACACCATAATACTATTCCCAGCTTATGATCACATTCTAACCCCTATCCTCAAACCTCACACTCGTTGACTGCAGTCGCAGTGTTCCAGTCAAGATCATGATGGTCTAAACATGATGCCCTTGCCCAGCACTATTGAGTATTGTATCGCCCACCAATGTCACACTCATCCAAGCAATCAAGAGTATGTTAGCATTAGGTTGCTGTCTATATGTATCGCAAGGATTTCTTACGCGATAGGCTTTGGCTCACGTATACACGTCAGATAGACCCAGGCTTGGAGGTGAGGAGGTTCCGCTGAAGACTAATAATGTGTATGAACCGACTACCTTCAAGTTCAACACAGTAGAGTCACTATCACGACTGAGATCAAGAAGGTCTGGAGCCCTGCCAAGAAGGGACCTTAATAGACCTGGCAATCCAGTCCGCTGCCCGTCTTCTTCAAAGGTTGAGAGTGTTTACTGCCCAAGACACACACGTACACTGCGACTGCATTGATTCGTATCGATCCTGATGGGTGTGCTTTCATCAGTCGCGAGCACTTTCCGCTGCACATCTGCTGGTGTTCTGCGGTGAATGAAAGCTTGAGCCGACCAGAAGGAGAGTGACTGTTGCAGAGCTCCACAAGGTCTGGACGATCCTCGCTGAGTCCGATGTGCGATGATATCGCTGTTGAAACACGACGTCTACTGCTGCGTATCGTGCAGATTACACAATGTTATTATGTCCGTCCTCGGCTGGAGCAATGACTGCGTACTCATAATAGACGAGTGAACGTGCGTGTGTTACTCGCGCAGGCATGCGCAGAATCGAAGATCCGTTCACAAGAGCCGTGCGTGTATTTGAAATGGGAACACAACACGATTAAATCTGTGGAACACAATTATCTTCAATGGCCGCCCTTCATTGTCCCCCCAACTCTCCTCTGCTGTCGCTCCAGTCAAAGGGAGGCTTTCAGCCGTAATTCCTCCCTACCGGTGTGGAAAGTGCACTAGCAGAGGCGAGATTCTGTCAGTCGCTTTAACCAAGCGTGAATATGCTATTCAGTTTTGTTTCGCTCAAAAGACATACCTCCTGTGCAGAGACCAGTCATGCATGGGCCATTACCTGACACCCTCACTCAAGTGCTACATCCATGCATGCAATGTACACCGTACATGTACATACGCAGCGCGTATTCTGCAGAACACAATACGCTCATTCAGCTAACTACATGATGTCCTACTAAACGTTAGCTGATAAGATAGTCAGGGTGGCGTTAAGTGACTACACGGCTACGGTGCTCCGGGACATACGCGTACGTACACACATACAGACACGCACACACACACACACACACACACGCACACGGGAACACAACTCCTCTCTCGAACAGAGCTTGTATCTACACTTGCTGTTCACTTGCACGTCCATGTGCACGATCGCTTACAACTAGACGCTATTGGCTGGTTGGGACAGGTGCAAATGGAACACGAGCGGGGGCTGATTGCACACGTGAAGAAGAAAGTAACCATCGACCGGTCTGCCGTCGGTCAGAGCCCCGTCGATCGCCAAACCACAAATGTCGGCGCAGCTTCCGAGTTCGATTTCCATCTTTCAGAGCTAGCTCGCGTCGCCAGATAGGACATTAGGGGAAGCCATCGGCTATGCGCAGGAGACCGCGCGGTGCGTCTTGTTTGACAGCCGTTGACATAGGGGGTTTGGGGGGGGGGGGGGGGGAGGTACGAGCGGATAGCTGAATGCAACTTCTTCTATTCTTGACATTCAGCATTGGGAAAACATGTGCATAGACGTATACATGGGTAGGTGGAGAGGTTGGGAACAATGCACATACACTGTACATACACATGTTTAATGATCGATGATTCGACTTCTTTTTCCTCCCAATGGCAATGTAAGTTTCCGAAGCGAGGCGCAATGATGTGCAATGCACCCACACCACGGAAGACCAAACGTAGATGAAGACACAGGATTCGCAATGCTACGCATGTCGTATGTGGAAGCCGTCTCTTCGTCGATCGTTGCTTGGTATTGGTCGGTCTAACACTAACAGGAGAACCCTTACGGAGAGGGTGGGTGGCAATGGCACTAATCATGCACGCACTGAGTAAGTTTTTCAGCTTATTTTTGTGTCTGCCCTGCGCTCTGTCACACCCTGTTTTCTGCTTTGAGCCATGGTACGCTTACCAAGCACTGCATAAATTACGGCATGCAAGTCAACACCCGCTGTTATAGCGCTATGTTATCGTCTCTCTACTCTAGTCTTACCTGCACTCGCTAAGCGTCACGTAGATCTACTGTGTACATAATGTACATGTGGGTGTCGGGAATGACGTAAGGACCGCAGGTTATGGGTTGGGTGCTACGGTTGCCCGTTAAAGGCTCCACCCTCTTCTTATGACTCGCGCGATATGCCACGCAGGCCACCTACATAGCCTTCGGGTCGCTGGCGGAGCAGTCGCAATATGGGCATTTGAAGCGTCAAGCTGGCAGGGTTTCAGCAGAGGAAGGGTCCATCAGCGCCTCGTTCTGCAGATACCATCGTCCTATAGGAACACTACAGCTATACAGGTAGGCTTATCGCACAATGTACGAAGCTTGCGCCGTCGACGGCCGGTCCTATCGCTCAAGCAGTGTTATCTGCCGCTCAGCGACGAAGAGATTCGCCTATGAGGGACGTCTCCCCAGCACCCAGTAATCCGTGTGGTGCTCACACAGTGCATTTAGACTTAGAGTAGAACTCCACACTCTCTTAACCCCTATCCAGCCTCCAATTCCAACGTCACTACCATGCAGGTCTGTCGTGCAAACTGAACCTATCGCTTTTTGCAAACACCATGGCTTAGCTAAACATGGTGTAAGCCATCAGTGGTAACGTTAACAGCGTTCGTACATGGCTGCAACGACAACCCGGATCAAGAGTACGTACACTTTGTAATTCACAACCTCCACGTCGTCTTCTCACGATAAGTTGGGGGTGGATCTGAGTGGCTGTGCGTGTCCCGAGCGTTGACTTCGGCTAGCAGTGACGGTTATCACTGATCACATACACCACAGTGCACAGTGCATAGTGGCTTGGTCTGCACCACACGTGGCGGACATACTGAAAGTGACCGTGTACATCGTTAAGTCGATACAATCACGTTTGAATACACTCATGTCGGCGAAAAGTCACAACCTGCCCCGAACTTGATGTAGCCCCGACGGGGAACAAACGTTGGGTACAATGAGTCCAATTGATTTGTCCTACACGTGTGAGTGGTGTGACACGCACCCACCAAGCAGAGGAGCCATAACTAATTTTCTCCGTCCCTGGTTAGCCGACAAGATTAATTAGCGGAGCACATACCCATCTCTTGGTGGAACCTAGTCGCCATATTGGTATGATATTGCCACTGGCAATTACTGAGCATCGTCAGGCAGCATACGAGAGGAGGCGCAGAGCGCTGTTTGCTTCGCTTGAATAGATTAGGAGAGGAAGATCCATTGTGTAGAGGTTTTCCTCTCCCCGCCCAAGGTATACTGGCCAATACCCTATACTATTACACTGTGCTGACGGAAAACGTAGAGTTTCTTTATAAATAACATGCATGTTGGAAATAGGATCCACGTCCGGCTTACTGGAAGGGACACTGCTGGTCCAGTTTGTTTTTCCATTTCCTCACCTTCTGAGGTCTCCCTGCATGGCACAGTGTCTCGGCTGCAGGCCGTTCACTGTGGGCCCACCAGCCTGACTAGCTGCATAACGAGTTTAACAACTCTTGGTATTGCTAAGCACTGTCAGACGTGATTATAATTACATTCTTAGGAAAGGTTTTTTCCACCGGGCTCTGTGCACAAACCATGCAGTGGTGTAGTCGGCATTCGTAGAGGTAGGGGATAATCGCACAGCTACAGATATTTGGATGATATGCGAAAACAAATAACTTCTTCAGTTTCACCTTCCGCTAAACCATGTTTTTCCTAGACTCAGAATCCACTTCGCGGCGCCGTCTGTCACGTTTTGGACACCACTCCTATCTCCCTGGCACGCGCGCCATTTAATATGAATATGCAGGGATTGACTTGCTCAACGTCAGTGCAGACAGGCCGCAGTACAAACTTACATGAGCTGTAACGCATGAAGTGAAGACTCCAGGTTCCAGTAGTCCCTCTGACCCGGGCATGGCCGTTACTACAAACGCTACAACGTTCCAGACTACGATTTACAACATCAACTGAGCTTTGCACTATCAACTGCAGCGTGTGCTTCACCAGCATAAGTCTAACCGAAGCAGTATTACAAGTAGTTGATTATCCTCATTCTACGTAGGCCACACGCAGAACAGTGTGCCGCTGAACTAAACTAGAAGTGAAAGTAGTTCGAGCCACGAAGTAGCGCAAGCGCAGTTTGCCATGAAGTAGCTTGCACGTAGGTCGATCTGCATCTCAGGAACAAGTTGTTGTTCTCATGCGTTTTAATTGCTCCTTGCAGTTTCGACACATCTTGTTTTCGCGCTGTCGGACAGCGCCACTACTGACACTATTGACAGGGACCAACCCCAATATCGTCATACGAATACCACCATCTCACATTTGCCATACTAACGACAAGTACATAATGAGTATATGCATGCACAGGAGCACGATTGTGAACACACACACACACGCCGCTGTAACGAATACGCGCTTTTCACTCTGCACCTTACCCTGTGTGTAGAAGTCCAACTTCGCTCTTGCCTTGGACGCGATGGGAAGCGAACGCACACTCACAGCACTTGTGTCTGGTTGAGTGCTTTTCAGGATCTTTCCCAGTTCCGGGTAACGTTGGCACGCGTGTAGATTGCGTACGACACTTGTCCCTTCACACCTCGACTCAGCCAATTGAAGAGGAAGACTCCACTGTCCTGTTTTTCACAGGGTATAGCTGCCGCTCAGCACCCACGACGCTCTCGCGACAGGAGTTTGTGACACACTCGCGGCCGAGCTCAATACGGTGGACAACAAGAAGCGCAGGTCTCTGAAGAACAGGAGAAACACGTGTGTCGACAGACGTTTCCAGTGCGTCTTGCCACACTCCCCCGATCCAGACCAGGTGCACAGGAAAAAATACTCCACGCGGAGGATTTCAGAAACTGTCTCTGACGTTTGGCGTTCTGCCTCAGTGCCTCACTCTTGTACCCGCAGATCTGACACGGTCTTCAGCCAGTTTCACCTTACGCTGCTGTGTACACTGGCGTGCAGGCAAGCCTATGGGTCTATGTATGGTGGGCAGGCCTGAGCTTGGGTAGGAGAGTACTCCACGGAGGACGTCTCTTGAACTGCTGCGGCTGCTGGTGGCGGCACGATGGCCACCGCTAGCCAATCCCCGTTCAGCTGCTGTCAGCATCCACATGCAGGCAGCTTGGATCACACAGACATAATCAAGCAGCAGTGATACCATAACCAGTCTCATGTGTAGTCAGAGTCCTGAGTGCTGACTGTGTGAGAGTGAGAGATGCAGCATTGCTGTGTAGATATGGCGCCCGGGAATCCCGATGACTCAGAGCACTGGTTTGACGCCGAACCCCGCCTCCGGAAAGCATCCATCGCACTTTACTCAACATCACAGTTAGAAAGAGAGTGCCAGTGAAGACAATGCTATTTGGTACACGGTGAGTGTTGGACTTGAAGCGGTACAGTGCAGTGCTGTGTAGGTGTGTAGGTGGGTGCTGCAAGTCTCTGCGGTCATGCTGCCGGGCCTAGCGTAAGGACGCATTGCTGATTAACATCATGCCCTGCGAGCACTGGCCCCCCAGTCATCGCCATCCACACGCCGAACGCACAACCTCACACACTACTAGCTCTCACATCGGGTTGGATGAGTGTGTACGCTCGAAGACAACCATGGCGGTCATCCACTGATGGGGCTAATCGCGACTGGACGTTCAGCGATGGAGGTGTCGCGCAAGGCAGGCTGTGTGTTTTCTAAAGGCCCATGACATTAGCGGGAGACTGGCAGTTAGTTGTTGTGACATTGACAAGACAGCCGGTCTTCCGCCTCTGTCAGATGGCTAGCGATAGGATGCTGGCGGCACGCTGATGTGTTCGTTTGCACAGTGGCAACACTACAACCAGTGACTGCGCGCAGTATCGGAGACGGCCATCACGATGATGATTGGCCTGCTTGCAGAATGACTGAGTAATGGACTGATGTAGATAACTTAAAGAGGAGAGGGAGACTGGCCACCAGTGAGTGCATCTCCTTGCCCTTCTCGCCTGTTCGCCTGTGTGGCTTTCGGTGAGAGATGACTCAATCGCGACACTTTCGGTCACCATCGCTTCAATGCGCCGGTTTGAGAAGGTCTTCAGCCAGCCAGGGTTGCAAGTCCCAGCGATTTCATCCAGCCATTCTAGTACGTCATACTTCAGACTCCGATGTTGACAGGGTGTTCTACGCCTGTCAGCTGCTGCTGACATCACTCTTGATGCATACCCTTAGCCATGACGAGATGCCTCAGGCTAGTCTAGTGACTCGGTGTCCCCCTTGCTCCCAAAGGTGAACGTGTATCAAGAACGGTTTCAACCACGATGGGTAGCGTACGTGACAGTGCTCGCTTGGTAAAGGCTTGTGCGTGCGTGCACAGAGGAAAACCATAACGTTAATGTGAAT